GTGGGTCCGGTCTTACGAGCAGCAGTCAAACTGCACCTGCTACAAACCTGAGTCCATCCCACAGGCACACAGTTCTTCCAAAACTGCTGTGACATGGATTGTTCTTCCATGGGGTGCAGTCCTCCCATGGAGGCACTTGCCCTTCCAGCCTGGAAGCAGGGCCCTCTCTCTCCACCTGGATCACAGCCTCCCACTGGGTGGGTCTCCCCACCAGGGCCTCCCGCTGGATCACAGCCTCCTCCAGGCATCCACACCTTCCGGCATGGGCACCTCCCCTCCCCCACGGGCTGCGGGTGGATCTCTGTATCCCCTGTGGTTTCCCCGTGGTCTGTAGGGGCACAGCTGCTTCACCATGGTCATCACCACGGCCTGCAGAGGAATCAGCTTCAGCACCTGGAGCACCTCCTTCTCCACTTTCTCCACTGACCTTGGTGTTGCCATGTCGTTTCTCTCACATGTTCTTACCTTCTCCTTTTCTCTGACTAGAAGAAAAACTGTGAGCCCTTTGTTTTGATTTTCTTCTTAAAAATGTCATCACAGAGGCATTACTAACCTCTCTAATTGGGCCAGCAGCATGTCCATCTTCAGAGCCATCAGAGATTGGCTCTGCTGGACACTGTGGAAGCTTCCAGCAGCTTCTCACACAAGCCACATCTGTGGGCTCCTCCACTACCAGAAACCAGGCCATGCAAAACCAATACACAAGTCCATCAGTCTCTATAGGTAGTTTTCTTACTGTGAAGAAATACTGTGTGACTGCTTTTCCTCAGGTATTCTCCTCAAAGCAGAGACTGAAGTAATCATGCTGTGTGGGTTTTGGTTTAGGGTTGTTAGTTTTGGGTTGGTTTTTTTTCCCAACAGATAAGCACTTTGTTTATTTTATCCCTTTAAAAGCAAGTGCCTTTCTGCTGGAAAACGTCTGTCAGCAAACGTGATAGAGGGATATTGCTTAAATTCCACCTGCATAAACTAACTCTGAGAGCTTCTCCAAGAGTACTCTCCTCCAGCTCTTCCAGGGCACGAGATGTGAACACTTGCACAGTGATATCTTGTCAGTCTGACTTGCTCTCACAAAATCTTCACTAGTCTGTGTCAGGAAGGCTAATGCATCTGCAACAGAGAGCATGAGGGAATGAACCCATATGGTAGTGTATACATATTCTTTCCTGTTGAAATTAAATATTCACCACAATACTACAGTGCTTTCCAGCATTGTATTCATCTTACTGCTTTCACTCCTATTTCATCTCTGTTTCTCGTTAATCCTTTGCATCTGTTTGCATTAAAAAATCCCAGCTCTGTTTGCTCTCAAAAGCTAAATTAACAGTTTGGTGACACTGAGTACCTAGATAATAGATATAACGAAGTCTAATTCTAGAGAGTGAACAGAAAAACTCAAACTTCTGCGTGATATGTCTACAGAGCTTTAATACAAAACTATGTCTCTAGGAGAAGGCAGTTTAGTTTGGACAAGCTTAATAAACTGTTCCATCTGTAATCAGATATAAATCTGGTTTCTTGGATTGGGAATGATTCCTAGTCATATGCAAGATTCAAGTTTTCCTGCTCATGATCTGAAATCCTGGCTGCTGCTATGCTATTTAGAAGGTCAGTGCTCAGCTTGTGAAAATGGAGCTTTAAACAAAACACAGGGCGTGTTAGCCTTGTTTGTTGACAAGGTGCTCTTTAACATGTTGAAATGGCTTGTGGTGTTTTTGTGCACACAACTGCAGAATCAGTATAACAAACAAAAAAATTACTGGAACAAAATCCTTGCATGCAGGCATGGAACTTAACAGAGCTAGAGGTCATAAATTCCATTATATTCTAAATGTTTCTAAGGACATGTAGCTTCTGCCGTTTGTGGAAGCCATTAACCTCTGAAGATAGACTGGAATTGGTGCCTCTTGACTACTACTGAAAACTGTAGAGAGATGAAAGAACCTCTGGCACTTTTAAAGGAGCATCCAAGTCGGCCCAAATCTTAAACTCTCTTGCTTTCTATCAGGTCATGAGCACTTTGGTGCTACTTTCTATGGCTTAAACACAACTGAACTAATCATGCTGGACAGTTGCCAGCCTGGCAGTTTGCTTAGGAAGACAGATGCAGCCTTCTCCAAGGACTCAAGTGCTCTAAAAACACATGTGAGAGCTAACCTTGTATCAGGAACTTATTTCAAGAGAATAGCTCATCCTGTGGATGTGTTAAAATACATCTTGACATTTACAACAATAAGAAAGGTATGGCAGTCCTGCAGTTACTCCTTGCACTTTCCTGTCCAAAGGATTTGGGGGTGTACATGTCAGCTTCATGGCAATTAACAAGTTCCAAGCATGTATTACACCTTTGTATTTTGCCTAATTAACGTCTGCTGCAAATAATAACCCATTTCATCTTCCCCATGCCTCTCCTCCAAAAGCATTTGGCTTTTCAAGCACAAAGCAGCACAGTAATGTGGCTTTTACTAGTATTCAAAGTCTTGTCTTAACTGTTGTAAAACATCTATCATTCCTGATTTTCAGAGTCTAACCTGAACCAAAATTTAGGTCTAGAGTTGTATTTGCACAGTTCCCTTTCTAGACGGGGGAGAGAAGCCAGCTTCTTATGGACTGTGAGAAGACAGACTTATAGCCAGACTGCTTGAGCAGATAGTCTGGTGTGGTACTTGACACTTTCTTTTGACACTTGCCTTTGCCCTGGTGTGCAGGAATGCTGAAACTAAAGCCATACCGTAGCTGAGTCTCTAAAGACTTTATCAGCAGAGGTAGGAGATAGCTTATAGCTCTTGCTGAAAATGCTGTTTTGCCAGAATGTTTTTGCGCCCATATTCTTGTTCTGCTTAGCTTAACTGTGATGACTTACAAGAAAACAAACCACAAAGTAAAATAATTCGGTCTGTGAAATTTGGCTGTGAACCTCAGAAACGAGATGAGAATCCTGTGACCTACACAAGAAGGCTTGAAAAAGGTTTGTTTCAACCATGTGGTGCCTCTATGAAGTTTGTTTTAGTATTTCTCTGTCAGTTAAAATGCAAAGAAGCACTGTTCCAAGGATGATACCTGTATAAGCAAGAATGCTCCCAGGCCTTGAGTGGTGCCATACTGCAGGCCATCGTGATTAGCTGTTGCATCTTAAATTCTTATTTTTTTCCAGAGCGTGTCTCTAGGCAGCTCTGACCTACGGAGCAGAAATAGTAGTTCAAATGATGAACAACAGAGCAAAGTTACCAGTCTCGTGGCTTGGCAGGGTGTTGTACTTGGATGCCTATTTAAAATATTCTGAGAGCAAATTCATCTAGTCTTATTCTAGTGGATTTTTGGTTAGATGGGCAAAATACCAGTTGTAGTATTGAAACTTTAGAGATGAGGCATGGTCCTGTTAAACTGGGGGCTTTCTGCTGGACCCTGCAGAGCCCACATACTTGATTCATAATACCCTTCACAGCTAAGAAGTTAAAATTTGGCTTAGGTCCTCAGCAACCCAGCATTTGTTCCTCAGCTACAGACACATTTTAAGGTAAGAGCAAGAGAAATTCCTTCTGATTTGTACTTACTCTGTATTGCTCTTAAAATGGCCTCAACCTTACAGTTTGATTTTAGATGATTAATATAGTGGAAACCACTGACCTTTTTGGGAAGTATCATCTTGTTCTTTGTGAGTACATCCACATAAATTCGACCATCCCTTCCCATTACTGGAGAAGGATAGCAGGAGCTGGTGCATGTAACCACTTACCCTTTTCCAGGGGGGTAGGTCTAGACCAGAAATTGATTATCACTGTTCTTCAGTTCTTAGACTTAACAACATCTATTTCTAGACTAACAACAACTTAGCACTGTCTTATTTGTGGAGCACTGTAGGAACATGGTTCTTCTTCTTGGAAATGAATAGGGAATTTTGGTATTTAACTGTGGGGATTTTAAAAATTTTTTTAAACACAGTTGAGCATGACTGCCTTGTTCTTTCCATCCCTTCTGTGTCCACAGCATTCTCCCTTCTCTGCACTCTGTATGCCACTTTGGTGCCTTAAATTAACTTCTCAAAAGCAGGTGCAAGAGGATGGGACATGTACTATCTCGGATATGTGAAGAAACAGAAGTGACCTCTAATGAACAAAGTCTGATGCTGCTGCCTGATAGAGAATAAAACTGAACATACATAAAGAGGAAGTAAATGCATTTTCTTCCTTTGTTCTGTATCTGGCAGTATTGGATAATAATCTTGTGTAGACTGAAATTTCACTGAATAAATGCTTAGTGAGGTCTTCTAATAGAATACTATGCACAGATGAGCTAATCTAGGTATGCTGGAGGATGCAGAAGTGCTCTTTCTTTCTACATGGAGCAGGCCTGCATAAAAACACCTACACTCAAAACTTTCCAGGATGAGACAAGGAATGTTATGAACAAGTCTGTGAAAGTTAAGTTCATGTAAGCTTTTATAAGTGCCCTTGGGAATATTTGTGTCTAAACCACTTCAGTTTTCCAGTCACTGGCTGCCATTCTCCTATGACTTACTCCATGTACTGAAGGTATGAAGATAAGAGTGTTCCAAAATCCAGCTATAATTGTGTGGAATTGTCTGCTTAACGTGACTCTGTCTGTCATGGTGTCTCTATGAAATGAGTAGCAAAAAGCAACAGAACATCTTGAAATAGAAGGAGAAAATGTACACCACTCTGAATCTCAGAAGTGAAGCAGTGGTGTTCTAGGAGCAATATAGGCCTGGCTGTCAGGTCCCTAAGTTAGGCAGGGGTATGTAGGGTTTAGTGCACCTCTTGCCTCTAAACAGCAATATTTCTAAATGTGTCTTATTGTGACACAATACTTGTTAAATGGGAGCAGTGAGCATACAGTATCACCTGGGTTCAGGTGAATTTATGCATGCATGGAACCTTGCATGGCTGAACCATGCCTTCTGCTTCCTCATGGACTGCTGCAAAGACAGAGACAGGACAGAGAGCAAAGCTATCTGGTTGAGCTGTACACTCGCTCAGGCAGGATAGGTGAAAACTAGCATTCAGTTTCTGGAAACTGCAATATTAACTAGTTGCCTGTAACTCAGCAGGAGACTCCATGGTCTTCACAAGAAAACAATACCTATGGAAATTTAGACTCTCAAGGGTTGAGTCCTGGATGCTTTCTCTGGCGTACTACTCTATGGGGGGAGGCTGCCATACAGAAGACTGAATACCAAGCTCCTGAAGTTTCTACTTTATGTGGATCCAAACTGCTGTGTAAGTGGAGTTGTGGAAAATCTCCTGGGAGAAGATGACAACAGTTGGAAACTTCCCAAGTTGTTTTGAATCTCACATGCAGACTTCTAGTTTAAAAAATGCAGTTGAATTTTATGTTTAGATGAAGTGAACTTCTTGATAGATTTAATATCTGTTTCTGGGCAGGCTGTCTAGTCAAGGTGCTTGGAGAGCATGAGTTAGTGAACTAAAGTGAAGCAGTCTTACCAGATTGCAGCCTGCATAGTTGTCAGGGTGCATTTCCAACACAGGCAATTAGTTCCTTCTTGCCTGGCGCTGTAGGATACCAAACATCTGCTGCTAAAATTGTCTGACTTCTGTACCCGTAAATTCAGGTGTCTCGAGGAATTCTAGGAACTTCATAGGAATGCATGAAGAGCCTGCCCTTGTGGTTGTTTTACAGCTGTGTTCAAGAACCAGTAGCTCATGAACCTGGAAGCCTGAATGTCACACTATATCTAGTCTAGGTAGTGATTCAGGCCTTGCTACACCTTCACCTGATGTACTTCAACAGATGACAAAGGTGTGAGACTGTCCTGAGGCAGTGGGGGACATATAATAAGGATCTTTACTCTTTATTTTAGAAAAAGCTTTGAAACTTCGGAAAATCTTTATGGATGCTCACTGAGAAGTGAAGAATATCTTGACAAAACATGTCCTCCATGCCACCTTGCCTGGCTAACCAGAAGCAGCCTCCCCTTCTCTCTGCTGTGGGACTGCTCTGCTTTGGCAGACTGATTACTGTGAGTAACAGGTGCTTTGACAAAAGGCTTTGTAAGCAGTAGTAGGTCCCTGCTGTGACTTGGACTGTGCTGGTCTCTAATAATGCAGAGAGGAACTTAAAACATGGATGGGCAGTTACTTGGTGCACTAAAGGTGAAGCTGGTCCATGAGCCACTGGCACTGAAGTCAGACACAGTTTGCCAGCTTGTTTATTTAAAATGGATAATACTAGCCAGTATTTCAGATGCTTGTGGGTGTGATAGGTATACCAACAGGTAGAAATACCAGTGGCTACATATCCCTTTTCCCACTAGGCTTTGCAGGACATACTCCTTTTTCTGTAGTAATAGCAGACTAACACAAATGATGCAGTCTTGTTTCCTGAACACACAAAAAAAAAAAAAAAAAAAATCCCCCAAGCCCCATGGAAGAAAGGTGAGGCAATTAACATGACAGAGAGGTTGCTCTGCTGGTGGGATTACCACCTGAGGTATCTTGCTGTCATACTTCAAAGCCTGCCTCTTTCTGTCAGTAGCATAAGACTTCAGCAAAACTGATCCTGCGTATTGTCAAACGAGGGTTCAGCAGCCATATGCGTTATTTCTAGTGCACTTAGCTAGGAAGTTCCACCCAATCAGGAGGAGAAATAGTTAGCTTCTGACTTGGCTTTCATCTACTGAAAAGTAGGAAAGTAGTAGGATATGATGCCAGCTGTCTCTCCCGGGGGAGGATCCTGCAGATGAGGCAGGATAGCACAGTAACACATCATCTCTCCTTTCTCCACCACCACAGCTAGCAGCTTTTCTTACCTGAACCACTGCTGTTAAGGAAGCTTTACTTGATGTGGTCTGGAGTGTTTCATCCAAGATAGAACTATCACAGCCTTTAACACCCAAGACGTTTCACAGGACCCACGACTGCAAGAACGCACTCAAGTGCAATTCAAGCCTTCGCATACTTCTGTCCTGCTTAAAATGTGCAAGACATGCTAGTATGATATTGTTACTTCCCAAGAGAATTGATGAGAAAAGTGCTAACTTCGTGCAACTAGGTGCAAGCTCCATTGTTGGTTCTTTCTCTAGATTCTCAAATTTTTAGCAGATTTGGTTATATTCTTTAAGCCCTCTTTTGGAAGAGTTTTCTTACAAGCTTTTTGGATCTCTTGTGGAACCGGGCTTAAGATGTTTCTGCAAGTTAATTGTCATACTGGAAGCTTAGAATATGACTGGCTGCTGTTCTGGCGCAACTTGTTGTATCTTAATGCTTATTGCACATGGGCAATGATGAGCTGTCTTTTCCTTTGGAAACAGAAACAGATTCGTCTCCAGCTACTGTGGTATCCCGAGGTTTACTTTGCTTTTTAGTCTGCTCAGCCAAATTCTCTTGTCTAGCTGAACTGCAGATTTTCTGAAGCCATCTCCTGTTGTTAACCTTATCCTGTCTACTGCTTATTCTGTTTATGTAATTTCAACAGAACTTCTTCTCTACTGAGTTATTGTGCCATTGCTTCCTCCTGTTGTACATATTCCTCCTAGGCTGAGTCTGAGCCAGATGCTTGTGTAGTTTGAGGTGTCTACCTCATATCTGAGCTGGCAAGCTGTGCCTTGCTCCTCCTGTTCTTTTGCCCTCTTGAGAGCTTTTGTGTGTCTGCCTTCCCATCTTGTTCACCTGCCAGTTAAATCTGAAACCATCTATTTGTTGGCAGCCTATTCTGTACATTAGCTGAGAGAATGTATCTAACCTCTCTCTTAGTAGACAATAGTTCAGAGCACCCCTTTCTCAAAATGTCTAGGCTAAACAATTATTTTCTCCACTTCGTAAGGCAGCCCTCAAGGTGAAGAGCAATGCTGCAGTACTGCAACAGACAGATGGCTCTCTATGAAATCCAAATACTTCCATGATGGGTTTGTGACAATGACTGGTAGGAATTTAGCTGCGTTTTTAGCCATCGTCAAAGGCCCACCTTTCTAAGTAACTTCACCTCAAAGGTCTTGCCTGTGATTCTGTACTTTTGGCTAAAGGAGCGCTGATGAATAGAGGAGGTCTAACCCACACGACTGCTTTGCTAAGATGATATGTTTTGTCGAGCCATACAGTTGTGTGAAGCTGGAAGCTAAGAAGTAATTATATAACTAAACACTTCTAGTTAATGTGGTGCTTAGCTGTAGTAATGTTTCTCTGTTTAGCAACAAGGGAAATCACTTTGTGGATATAAATTATCCCTGTGCTGCTATTAAAAAGATGCAGACAAAATATCCTCCTGTCTTCTCTGAAAAGAAGAGCCATGGATCCTTAGGACTTTCTGTGTACAACTTATCACACACTGTCAGCTCCATCTGCTACAAAACCAGGGCAAAGAATATGTTAAATTGTTAAGAATATGCACGTGCAATAACTGCTTTTACAGAGTAGTTGGTTGGTACTGAAGTGTGAGATTTGAAGGTGTGTGGATGTACCAAGTTAGCTATAAAGTTGTTTTCTTGTTTTTTCTTTTTTCCCCCTGCTGCCAAGTGAGTTTCAAGGAATGGCTGACTTCCTAAACTTTTGTGTTTTTCTTCCTAAAATAGCCACTTGATGGATATTTTAGCCTCTGTCTTTTATGGGCACTGAATGATACTCTTAGGCTTGGGAGAAAGGGAATGAGGACCTCTCCAAGGAAAAAGTAGTGGTTTCATTTGCTTTAGGACTCGAGCAGGGAGGTGTGCCTAGACACTTGTGTGTGAGAGTATGATCTGTGGCTGTTCTGTAGTGCAGTGATGGCAATTCAGACTCTGACTGCTGTCAAGATGTGTGGAAGTTAATGGACTGGATGGTGGGCCTCTGATGAAAGTTGTGCTCCTTCCTCCACTGTAGGAATCCCGGAGGTGAAAGCTGACTGCATTCCAGACAATTGAATTGTTGCCACGTTGCCTGAAGCCTGTCTTATAACTAGGTCTCTTGATTTGCCTAGCTGTTTTGATTTCAGTCTAGGTTGGCTCAGTCTCACCAGGAATTGTTGGTTTGGGAACGCTTTATTTCCTTATGACTGGAAAGCAGGTTGTGCTGTACTTAGGGGAGGTATAGTGATAATGTTTTCTCCTCAGCTTAATGCTTGAAGACTTTAGGGTGTTGCCCAGGTGTCCTGGAAAAGGGTGGCCCTTGGAGGTGCTGAAACAAACAAACCTTGTAATATATCAGAGAAGCTTGTCTGTGGCGTCTTTGAAAATACTGTCCTTTATCTTGCATCTGTTAAGCTTATTAAAAATTTACGTTTTTAATTTTTTTCCTTTCCAATACAGGATCTCAGTCTGCCCAATGGCACACCTGTGGACACTTCTAGCCCGGCCTCCTCCTCATCTCTCCTTAACAGACTGCAGCTGGATGATGACTTGGATGTGGAAACTAGAGACCTCTTTGTTACTGTTGATGATCCCAAAAAACACGTGTGCACAATGGAGACATATATCACATACAGGGTTACAACAAAGGTACAAAGCAATATTCTCTTTCCTAGTACTTCCTTCTTTGTGGAATAACTTTAGGGCATGTTCTGGATATTCACATCTTCTACTATGTTTTCCTCTCATAAGAACAACAAATCGGTGTCTTTGGTACCTTGTGAATATGTTGAAGATGTGACTTCTCTTAGGAGAACTGTTACTTTAGTGTCTGAAATTGTGGAAAAAGCTTTTAACATGTCAACTTGGATTTTTTTTTTGTCTCTGATTCCTAAATAGAACTGTTTGTAAACTTGCAAGGCCAGTTTCTTTCATTAACTTCACAGTTTGTTAATTTAAGTAATCTTACACTCATTTGGTTTGAGTTCCCTTAGGGGGAATGTGCCTTGTTAGTGTTTCACTGCTGATCATCTCACATTTTGTTTCTTTCCTTCTGAAATGCTTGTTGCTGGAAGTATTTACTGTATTTCCACTAAAATAGTGTTGATCCTCAGCTGTAAACTAGCTTTCATGCAGTTGCTGGTTCAGAGAGCTTTACAGCTGATACTAAAATGAAGTAGCCTAAGAATGCTGCTGCCAACCGAAAGAGGCTGGAGATTTCTTCAGCACCTGCTGTAGTTCAATCATGAATGTAATCTACATATATTAATATGGAAAGTGATCTGAAAAGTCCACCACATTCACAACTGAAATGTTGATTCCTCTTAATTAACACATCTTCATTATAATGAGCTCCTAGGTGATGTTGACATCTGCTTTGGGCACTTGTAGTTACCTAAGGCAAAAGGTGTTCACTAACTTTACTAGTAATATACTTTATACACTTGTCCAGAAAGATTAACATTCCTCCAGCCCACTTAGATGGCAGTATGTACTGGAGGAAATATTTTCCTTGGAGATAAGGAACCTTTACAGGCCACAGATAATTTTTTTCTAAATTGTCCACTTCAAAGTTTCATTTTCAGACTGCACACGAGAAAATGGAGTTTTTCTAAAATACTAACTCTCTCTTGCTGCACATTTAATACAGTTCCGTCCTTCATTTTTATAAGTAGTCTTAATCTTGCAGGAAACACTGTATCTTTTTTACTTGGAGCATCTTAGCCTTCAGCTATTGTTTGATCAGGAGCCACAAAATAAAACACCACAGGGTGTTGGCTAAAATTGGCTAATGTTATTTCTCTCTTAGGTTAAGTCTCTCTTATTCCATCAATATAAAATATTTCTATATAGTGGCACCCTAATAATGTTCCTATGCTTGGAAATCCTTATGTTTAAGGGTTCCTTTCCTTTTTAAAGCAGAGCTTTGAAACATGGCCAAGGTCTTTACCATGTTTAGATCAGAAGTATTACCCAACAGTGTCTCTTTCTATATTTAAAAAAAATAATTCTGTACTTTTATTTTGATGTCTACCTACCTGTGTGTTAATACTTGTTTGATTTCAGATCTCATTGTAGTACATAAATCTGCTATATCATACCATTGCAATGCTATTATACAACTGTATAAGTTATTCTTCTGAATCACCATGAAAGCCTGATCTCTTTAGTTTTATTATTCTTGGAAACTTTTGGTTAATCTCTAGGGTCAGAACCTCTAGGACTATCTACCATTGTGTCTTGCCCTACAAACAAGGCGCTTTGATGCCAAGTTAATTGCCAATTAGCCATTGTAGCTGCAAGCACTAATTAAACATGGCAGAAAAGCTGCGCAGAAATAATCCATAGAGTGAGATGGGATGCCTTCTCAACACCTCCCGTGCAGCCTTGCAGGAAAGAAGTTTGAGACTTCTGAAGGGTCTCTCTAATTACTCTGAATGAGGAGGCAGGGATGGCTGGGATTTTTTTCTTCTCTGCTGGAGAATACATCTGGAACCTCAAAGGTTTGGATGAACATAGGTCATAGAATGAGTTATTCTGAAGACTGAAAAGCAGCATCACTTGGGCAAGAGGGGAGTTGCTAATGCTGTAATGTGTGGTTATGGCTGTGGCAAGATACCATTGTAGGGAAGAGTATAGACCAACCACAATCTCATTTGTGTTGTGTGGGGCTTTTTTTCCTCTTTGTTTTTACAGGTCCTTCATTCTAACAGGGAAAAAAAAAAAAGTCTTACAGTATGCCCTGGGCTTTTCATCTTCTCATACCTTTGTCAGTGGCTGGTGGTCACTGAGGAAAGGTCAAAACATTGGCTTGCAAAGGAAAACTTTAAGAGTTTACTTGATCCTGCTAGTGTACCTGTTTTCACAGCTCTCTAGTAAGAGCTAGCTAGCGTTCCCTAGCCTGTCTTGTGGATGAACACGTTTGAAGAATATAATGGTAATCCTCCAGCTAACAAGACAGTGATTCAGGGCTGACTTGATTCTCTCATACCCTGTGTTCATCTTGCAAATGCAAGTTAGTAAGCAATTTCCTTACACAACTTAATGGGTCTTGACTGTGATGATTGAAGTGTCTTTTGTGTCCTTCAGGTAGATGGATGTGCATTTTAGGGATTTTCTACTGAGCAGAATTCTTTTCTAGAAAGAAAGGGAATGGTAAAGCTTGGCCTTATGTTACGTAGTCATCTCTCCTGAGAAATCATAAATAAGTGTACTTCTAACTTCACTTTCATTGTACTTCCTAGGATGGCAAAGCCTTCTGTGCCTTTTCCCATGGAGGTCTGAACAGCTGAGTGCCATTCCTCAGAGTTATGCGGTTGCTCTGCAGGCTTGAAGGGAGAGTCTTTTAAACCAGTCAGTACTGAAGTGGAGGTCTTGTTTTTACTTTCCTGTCCTTCTCCTCATGCTTCCAGTCCATTCGTTGGGTGGATTACTTGTACACATGAAACAGCTTGACTTCCTAGAGAGGAGCAAGTAAAAGTGATATGAAGGCTTTTTCAAACAGGCTAAGCTGTTTGAGACCAAAAGAAATACTGGAGTGCTAGGAACAGCAGCCTTCTTCCTTCCCCTTCTCTGTCATTCTCCTCTTCTTGTAGTTGAAAATTTTGCCTTGAATAGTAACATGGAGGGGAATTTGCAATCAAGTCTAGTGAGTTAGAGAGTAGAACTAGGGTACAAAAATACTTTCATATAGTCATCACAGGCTAGCTTCAGGTTTGGCTGCTAGCTCCTTCCAAGGAAGACAGGAATCTTACACAGGACCAAGACTTGATGATTGCATTACTACTGCCTCTAGTCAAAACTATTCCAGCAACTGAGGTAAAAGTGTCTGTAACTCTGCCTCCTTTCCAGCTGGTAAAACTGAGTAGAGTGTTGCAGTGCTGGTTTAGTGGAACTGTGATGGAATTTTCAGTAAGTTCCTGGAAATGTCTTGCCCATTGTTTTTTGGGAGGTTGAGATCTGCTATATAAGTTTCTAAGGTTCCTTTGGAAGAGAACACATGTCCTTGCAAGATGAGATTTATGAATCTTACTGGGAAAGCAGGAGGAATTTAACTGTGTCAAAAACATAGATGCTTCACTTGTCTATTATGGAAATTGCCCTGCTTAACCATCCAGGAGCCACTCTGGCAGTTACTCTTGTACCAACTGAGCTGTGACTGCGGCCCTTTCCCAGCTGTGCCCCCTCACTCACACAGTCACGCCAGGTTTCTGTCCTCAGTTTTTCCATAGCAGTCTCAGGTGTCCCAACCATTAAAATAATTTCATCACGGTGCAATTACAAACTAACAGATTGAGCTGGTGTCTCAGGAGGAGACCCGGAGCAAAGGAGCTCCTGGGCTTTTATCCCCTCAGCAGTCTAAGCCTGGGATCACAGGCTCCTGCCGTGCCTCAGTGTCCTGTCCCCTGGCTGGGCCACAGGTCCCCCTTGTTGTGCCGAGGGTCAGCTCTTCACAACCTTTTTGCCTGGGCTCTACCAGCCAGAGCTCCACCTGCAGCTCCCACTGCAGCTGCACCCCAGCTACCTCAGGGAACGTGGTCCTCAACACTGTGCTTGGACAGTGGCAAGATCCTCCTTCCTTTTATGTGCAGTCTGGAAAAAATAACTTCGCTAAACTAATGAAGTTTCATCTGAGATCCAAATCCTTTCCGTGTTAATGAAGTTTCATTAAAACTTTGAAGGGCCTTTATGTTCTGCCTAAATAGTTTTTGAAAAGTTTATTTGCTGTCTAGATTTGATAGGCTGTACAGTAAGCACTGAAATGTTGCTGGTATATTTTCATCTCAGAGGAAAAAAAGAGATATATGGAAAATGTTGCAATTCTCCTTTGAAGTAAAGGCAACAAAAGCAGTTTGCTAGAGGTGAATGATAGCTGATGTATGGTTTGTGTACTGAGACTTAACCCTGCTTTCCTACTCCTAGATAGTCCTATATGGTTTTCCTTAACTGTTAGCAGAATAGTAGTTAATAAGCTTCTCAGTGCTAACAGATGGGAGACTTTACTTTCATTCTCATGCTATAGGATAAGACACTGTAGTGTGTAGCCCTTCTCATTCCCTCAGTGTCTGATCTCTTAAAATGCCTTTGGGCAGTGACAGCCAGTTCACAGAAGCTGTGCCTTTTACTGAGTTATTGCTGCCTTGCCCTACCCCTTTTTTTTTCCTTTCTTTCTAGAATAATGCCATTCAGTCTGTTACTCAAAACAAGTGAAAATTCAAAATGACTTCAAAATGAAGTCTCAGAAGTCACATTTATAGTGTGGCACTCTTAGATGTTAAATAAGCTGGTGTTACTCTGAGAGGTGTGTAGCTGAGTAAAGCACAGATCTGCAGTGGATATCGAGGTCTTGGTAGTCCCTCATCTACAAACACAACTGCTCCAATTCATGAGGATTCGTTGTTAGTCTGTGGACTAACTTCTGTATTGCTTGCCATGCCTAGCAGGTCGAAGAAGGCAGGAGCTGATCCTGATTTCTTTTTCTGTCTGTCTATGTCTTCCTTTACTGGAAGCCAAACCATGTCATAGGTAATAACACATCAGCTTGCTGCTTACAGTATTCTAGACCTACTGTGCTGTTGATACTGTGCTAAGGCTCTCAGCTTCACCCTAGAATGAGATTTCATATGTAGAACTTCTGCAGGATCCCTGGTGGTGACTGGTGGGAGTAAAATGCAGCAACTGAAGAGTTAGAGTCATCCAGAGAGCAAGCAAAGAGGTGGATTGCATTCAAAGGCTGCTACTGGCTGGGACTAGCAAAGCAACCAGGTGCTGGACTCAATGCCAGTTCAAAGCTGGGGTTGCCTGTGTATTCCCCAGAATGTGCTGAGTTTGATGCCTGGCTGCAGGCATGTGGTGTGCTGCAAGCCATTCATTGCAAGATGGACGTAATGCTGCAAGTAACTGAAGTATAGCTGCCTATGCTTCTCAGTGGGACCTAAGTACAACAAGGGCCATCTACCTTCTGACCAGGGCTGCTGCAATACCAGGCTCTTCAGCAGACATCCTAGTTGTTACACAGTTTCACGAGTGCTTTTAGGCAGTTGCAGTATGTGCTGTGCAAGCAGCCCCATACCATCAGCCTTCCAGGTTATGGACTGTTCAAAGACTGCATAAAACACTTGCCAGCAGTTTGTCTGCACATTTACTTTTTTTCGCCTCGAACTTGTAATGACCTTGCCCTAAAGAAGGAAAATTTAAAATATTTAATTTAATGAACTAATATATCTAATCGGGCATACACATAAACAGATTTGTTTCTTCATCTTGGAAGTCAACAAAAGTAGTCCATCAAACCTTGCAGTGGCTTATGTTCTCATCTTTTGACCTTGGAGTGTGATAAGCCTATCAATTGCAGAATACAGGACAGTGGTGAAACACTTTTTCACCTGTGGATACTGCATATAATAGAATCAACAAGTCAGTCAACACCTATAATTTTAATTCTTGATGGTTAAAATAGTCTTGTCCTCACAATAAATATCTCAGTCTTTGCAATCTTGCAACTGCCACGAGAGTAAAGTGCTGTGCAGTACTTCTGCTCTACAGACTTCTACCATGACAAGAGCAGAATGTGTAATGAACTACATATAGGTCTTAACACATCAGCTCCAAGCAATCATTTTTCATATTGCTGCTTTTCCACTGCTTGAAAGGCCAGAGGATCTTTCTCTCATGCTGGCTGCACAATTTTGGGGAGTAAGACCCCCCTGCAAGATTTCTCTCGCTTCACCCCGGCCAGGGATGGCTGTAGTGCATTTGCCATTAAGCTCTAAAGTGAGAGGCATTGCTGCACACTAAGTGTATCCTGTTCTTTTCCAGACCACACGAGCAGAGTTTGATTTGCCAGAGTATTCTGTCCGTCGGCGGTACCAAGACTTCGACTGGTTGAGAAACAAGCTGGAAGAGTCTCAGCCAACGCATCTTATTCCCGTAGGTAGTAAGCAAGAATCTGCTGTTAAGGACAGTTGTGCATCTGTCTTTCAAGGGTAATATTTGGATGATATGTGTCTAGATTTAAAAAATAGTACTTCATTCTCTTTGACCATTTAGAGTTAAATATGGTATTTACAGTGTCTTATAGTGGAGTGGAAAGAGCTTCTAATTCCTGACTAGTTAGGAAGATTAGACTTTTCTTGAGAGGCACACCTGAGGGGTGAGCTTTGTCAGCCTCCTGTAAGGCAATACATGTGTTGACTACAGTAGTTGTGACATAAATAGAGTACATTTCATCTGTTTGCTCAATTGTTACATCTATATTTCAGAGCATCTGGGGATTATGAAAAGCCACAGGTACTTCAGGTTCTAGTCTCGGTTCTCAAGATGGCCTTTTGAGCTGGTTTTAGTGAGTAATTTAGAACTATTTGTGCTAACGCTTAATAGCACTGATATGTAATAGCACAGACTTGGAAGTCTCAGCCTCCGGCTTGGTAGCTGTTACATGCCTTCAGTAGGTAGAAGTTTACCTAATAAGATAAGCTAAACTACTGCACCCATTGCTGCTGAAACTGGTGATCTGACCACCTTATTTGATGTGAGGAGGTTAGTACTGCCTTATATTTTTTTGGGTGAATAGGCAGGAAACCTGTGAGATCACCACCTTCAGCCTTTTTGAACAAAGACATTTTAAAAGCCCTGTAGGAATTTAATTGGCAGGAAATAGCAAGACTACTAGCATACTTCAGCACGCTTCTCTGGGGTGAGTGATGGGGTGGAAGTTTCTGTGCCCTCCCTTCCTCCTTCAGCAAGGAGTAGGCTGTGTGAGAAGTATTGTTAGGTTGCTCTATGATTGAGTGATGTTTGAGTCCTTAATTATGCTGGGACTTGCCTCAAGTGGAAGAATAGCTGAGTGTCTCAGAGACAAGAAGTACTTCACAAAATCATGTGATACCACTAACTGGCGGCAGGTATGTTTAGTGAACAGTAGGGAAAAGAAAGAGAGCTTGAGAGCAGAAGGTGGAGACATGTAAAGTGCCCGTACTGTTTTCTCTCACCCCATTCTCTGAACAGCTGGAGCAATCACAGTTAAGTTTCTGCAGATTCTTGGGTACACTAACAGGCAGCCAGTTCTGCCTGAAGCCTGCAAGGCTGTAAATAATAGTCAAGACACAGCCAGGTAATCAAGCTGCTTTGCTTCGACTAGGAATTTGTTGCACACAGAACAGCAAGCTTAGCATGAGTAGCTGTAATACTGGACGTGGACCCTGCTGCAAACAAGCCAGTATCTTAGTGCCTTTCTTCTAGAAAATCTCTACATAAATGGATGTGCTCCCTTATTTTATCTGTTTATGCACAATTAATGCAGTTAATATGCACTATTAATCTCCTTCTTGCAGCGTATGGTGGGGAGATTGCTGCATGCTTTGTTTTTATCATCTAGAAATAGATGAGGTATAGAAGCTAAAGGCAGTTGCAGATGCACTGACTCAAGTGTATTCTACAAAGATGTTCCACAATAATCTAAAACTATCTGTATTTATAACTATACATACTGCAATCCCTGAAAGCCTTCTGTTTTAACAAATTATCAAAAGGGAGTTGTCTTCCTAACCTCAATATAGTGATTCTGCCTAAAATCTTCCTGTAGCAAATGATGTGTCTTCTCAGTGCAGTGTGGCTTGACAGCCTACACTTAGGAGTCAAAACTAAGCTCAGTATGGGTTCCTCTTCATCTCTTCAGTTACTGATAGTTACTTCTGTTTAAAAGATCTGAGACATTCTAATACTTTCTTTCAAAAAACAGTAACACTGATCTCAGATCTGTCTTTAGACTAGAACGGTAAATTTAACACAGCTAAGATTCTTGTCCGTGGATGGTCATGTTTGGATACTTGAAGTCATTTCTGATGGCAATGAACTCTGCTCACATGTCTCAGTAGGGAAAAATAAATTTTTAAGATGGAAGACTATAGGATAGATAATTAACACACAGTTAAAGCAAGTCAATCAGTTGCTAGCTGTGTGTATTGATTACTTGAGATAGACCTCCAAGAGGCCTAAAAAGGAAAGGAATGTACCTACTGCTGTAGTCCAAAACCAGGTTAAATGGCAGAAGTCTTTGTAATAGAGGTGCATTCTTCAAATGCTCAAACTTTAGTGATTACTGAGTGCCAGTTTGCATGTGTTTGGTTGAACTGGGGTTCTTTAGACTAGTCTTCCTTTCCCTCTTTTTTTTTTGCTCCTTAAACTTTTTTCTTTTCCTCCTGCATATGGTGCTGAGGTAGTGACTTCCTAGAGTCCCAGCTAAAGTTTACAAAGCAAAGGAAGAGAGTTTCTTCCTCCCTGAAGACTAATGCACAAGGCATTATACTTCTGAAGAGGTCTAAGTCATAGTGTACCTTATGCTGGTTTAACTAGAATGACTGACTGATTTGAATGCTAAGCATAATAAGGTAAGTCTCAAATTTTAAGAACCAAATACAGTGGTCAAAACGTAGTTATATTGCAGCTAAGTCATGCTGGCTGTGCTTTTCTAGGAGATACAGTCTTTATATACAACCCACATCAGCTCAGATATGGTGGGAAAGCAATATGTATAGATTTCTTTTCTTTAATTATTTTTGACACAGATTTTAGATGACATATTCTTTGCAGAAAAGAATCCTGATTCCTGAGTTGGGTACAAATGGCTGTCATTGCTAGCCTAAGTGTAAGGAGATTGTCTGGATGAACTGGTTCACAAGAATGAAATGCAAAGCACAATTTAAAAACTGATATCGAAGTCTGTGCTGTCTGGACAGAACAAAAAGCAGCTCTAGTGGTAGAGCTGAAACTAACCATGCTTCAACTTAAAAAGTTGCATTTCATCCAAAGTGGTGTTTCAGAGTCTGTAATCCAAGTGTACCGGTGAGACTGTGTAACTAGCAAGTCTGGAGACAGTCTGGGCTTACATGTCAAGCTAAACTGCAGAAATGAACTGATGGACTCAAAACAGTAAGATGTAAAAATGGATGTATCATCAGGCTTTTGTCACTTACAGAAACATACTCAGGGAAGTCAGCTGTGATAGATGACCAGGTGTGCTCATACTTAGAAAAGGTACAACCATTTGCTCTGTCAAGCCCCTGGTTTGTTTTGCTTCGTGTTCTCAGTAAGACTCTTATCATTTTAGAGGAGGGCCCTGTTCAAAAGCTCTAAATTTTTCAAGGGGGGTGTGTGGGGAGTAAGTAGAATTGTCAAATTTTCTGAGTTCCAGAGACTGGGCAGCCTTGCTTCAGCACTGGGTGGGGGGGGAGGCATGTGTGTGCGTTCTTCTGTTATAAATAGTGTCCTGCCCTTCTGGCATGTCTTCAGAGCTGGATCTTGAACTAGCAGTAGGGAGAACAATCTAAGCTATACTACAAGTACTTATTGTGAGTACTGTCTGACTTTCCTGGTGTGACTCTCAGCTGAAGCCACTCAGCAGAATGGCTAGCTTTAAGCCAGACCAGCTAAAGGTAATTCTGAGCACAGCTTGCATCCCATCTGATGCATGGTTCCTGTTTGCAAACACAATGTTTCAGTTCCTGTTAAGACTGGAATTTGATTGCTTTGCTTGTTTCCAAATAACAGAAGCAAGGTTTTGGTCTTTTGAATCTCGTGCTCTTTGCTTATCTCTGACAGCCTCTTCCTGAAAAGTTTGTGGTGAAGGGTGTTGTTGATCGCTTTTCGGAAGAGTTTGTGGAAACAAGGAGGAAAGCATTAGACAAGTTCTTGAAGAGAATAACTGATCACCCAGTGCTGTCTTTTAATGAGCACTTCAACGTCTTTCTCACAGCTAAGGTAAGCCAGTAACTTCCAAATGCAGTTGTTGATCTTTGCAATCCCTTCTGAAATGAGAGTAAAAAGGCATTAACAAAACTACATGTGCAGATCAGAGCTTCCTTTAAAATACCAGAGGGTTATCGGGCACTCTGACTATTGTGGGTGACCCTTGTGTGTGACAGCTACTAGTATGAGTTCCCTGTGTGTGAAGGGAAGAGGAATCCTGTCTGCAAACTGATAAATTGAATTCTCCAAACCTGCTTGTTTTGTAGATTAGAACATACTCTTATTATGCACAAGAGAATAAAAATTCAGAAAACTGTAGACTTTAAAATCCTCTTTTGGGGAGGAGGGAAGGGGGAGAGGAAGAAAAGTCTCCCTTGCACAAAAGCTTGGATATTTCTTGACTTTTTATCTTGTCTGTGCTTTTTATACTGCTTGCACTTGATGCCCTCAAAACTAAGCATGGAGGCCTCATTCTTGTTTGTTCTCAGCCAACAGTTTCATTGCTTGTCTTCTGCATGACTCATGCAGGAATGGTGCAATTTTCTTTGACTTTGTTTAGAACTGCATTTCAAATACAACTAGGAGGACCTGCAGCTATGCTTGGGTTTTACCAGATAGATGAGAAGAGCTGTAAAAGCATGCCTTTCCAAAGTCACATTACTCTAGCTCACTTAAATGTGAGCTCACTTCAGGTTCATGCTCTGCTTACTGTTAATAACCAATCTCCAGTGTTCTTTTATTTCCCCTCCATGGTGAACTTAACCACTGAAACAAGCCAGAAATGCAGAATTTGTTTAGCACATTAAACGTCATGTAGCTCTGTTCCTCTTTTGAGCTATCCAAGCATGGTGCAGCTTCCTTAGCTGTTTTTTTGTCTTCTCCCACCTCTATGAAATGAATGTCAAGGGCTTCACCCTCTGCTTTGGGAGGAGTTTGCTTTGAGGTTACAGGGCATCCTGGGAGGTGAGGGGAAAGGAAACCTGTTCTGCTGACTGTCTCCAGTGTTTGAACTTGGTCTAGTGGAGCAGTGAGGTATCAGTTCAGTGTTCTAGGACTTCTGAATTTAGTTACTACAGGAAGTCATAAGATCACCTCCTGATTGGAAAAGAGAAATCAACATTTCTTTGTGTTCCCTGTTTGGACCTGTAACATACCAGAATGCTTGAGAGTGAGTGAATAATTTTTAGTTCAAGGATCTTTCCTGATGCCTCTGGGGACATGTGGAAAGCAAAAGTCAAACTGCATTTAAATGCAAGCATAATTGAAAATTATAGTAGCTGCTAAGATGTCAGGTTTTCTTAATCAAATTTACATTTGACTTACATAAAGTACTTGGAAGGAATACCATATTACGTATTTTGGAGATGGCTGCTGGGTTTTTTGTTTGTTTGTTTGCTTGCTTTATTTGTTCGATTTTTTTGTTTTTGTCTTTGTGTTTGTTTGTTAGGGTTTTTTTGTGGTGTTTTTTTTTTTTAAGAACACTTAAGCTTTTAGTCTAGTCTGTAATAATATTTCTGAATTCTTGATCTCTACAGGCCTACTTGGTTTGAGCACATCTGTTCCTCAGGCTCTATAGAATAACTGAACTATAGCTCTTGAGCCTGTTTTGGTATGTTGAATACTGACCTCTGCTGGAAGAATTAAAATGAAAAATCGTCAGCATTTTGGCTAACTGGAACCATTTTGTTCTGGTGTACTGTTAAGGTGAAATCCCATAAAAATTGTAGGCAAGCAGTCTTGTGTAGCATAGATTATCTGAAGGTTAGTATATGCTAAAATGTAAAGGAGTATGAAAGAAGCCTACACTTTCTATGGAGGCAACATGGTTGCATCTTACCCAGCCTTAGCTACAGTCTCTCTTGCAGAGAATCTTTGCTGGTCTCCCCGTGCTGCATTTCTCTCCATGCAGTCCTCACTTGCCTCCTGTTTGACCACACAGCTGGATTGAAGAGGCTGCTTACCAAATAGGTGTGCAATGTGTAGCTCTGTAATAGGTCATCAGAGCCAGCTGGTACATCTGCTTAATACTGATACTGTAGCTATGACTTAGAAGTATATGTAGATGAATGATGTGAACTGTTTGGGTGGAACCAGAGCTGTTAATAAGCCTGCTTCCATGATGAGAGTACAGGAATATAGGAAAGTATGGGCACATGCCAAGCTGGACTTCTTAGTTATTTAGTTAGTTAGTTAGTATTTACTTAGTTAGTTCTTCATAGTATTCTCCTGGATAATTTACCTCCATGAAGCCTTGGAGCTGTGCTCAGCTGTGTAGCTTGTAGAAAGCAAGCCTTTGTTCAAGACTGTATGTCACATGTAATCTTTTGCTTTCAGAAGATTTGATCTTGGAAAGTATCCTTCATTGTATTAATATTTAAACATGTGAGTATTCCTAAACATTTTCTTTTTTGTTTTGGTTTTTGGTTTGTTTTAATTCCTAGGATCTTAATGCTTACAAAAAGCAAGGAATGGCTTTGCTGTCAAAGATGGGGGAGTCTGTCAAATACGTTACAGGAGGCTACAAATTAAGAAGTCGGCCACTGGAGTTTGCAGCCATTGGGGATTATCTAGACACGTTCTCTCTAAAGCTTGGTACCATTGACAGAATAGCACAACGCATCATCAAGGAACAGTTGGGTAAGGACACAAGGTGTTCCATCATAATATTTCAATCTGAATGCTCTGTGTCTTTTTCTGGTTGATAGCATGATCAAGACAATTTGTGTTGATGGTTCTGGCCTGTAATAAGTCACACACAGGGCAAAATCAAATGCCTGTTCCAGATTTTTAAAAGGCCCAAAACCTAACACAGTATCTGATATTAGCTCAATTCTCCAAATATTTTTTTTTTAAGTTGAACTTTTCATACCAACCTACTGTCTTACTGGAGTAATTTTTTGAAAGAATTTTGAAAGGTGGAAGAACCTGTAGGTTCCACCTGGAGGGAGTACAAATGGAATTCCTAGGCAAAGGCAAGCTTTACAGGTCTGTCTTAGTGGAGTTAAGTTTTACATATGTCTGAAGGACTGACCTTGGCTACTCCAAAGGTGCAAGTCTTTGTATTGGAAGTCTGTAGTAATGGAAAGTTAAGAAAGGGGCAGCTTGAACCTGTCACCTATGCAGCCATAGAGCTCTGTCTGTTAAGAAGCTAATGCAACACAAGTCTTGACTCCCTGTGGGGATTAATGTTATTCAAAACTGGTGCACAATTTCTTCTATTTTGTGTTTGCACATCTTCGTGCCTTGCAGATCTTTGTGCCTTTCTCATATTGTGTTAATCCATTTTTCTATGTGCCTCTTGTAGAATACTTGGTGGAACTACGAGAATATGGACCTGTTTATTCAACCTGGGGAGGGCTGGAGGTTGAGCTGTCAGAGCCACTGGAAGGAGTGTCTGCCTGTATTGGGAATTGCTGCACAGCTCTTGAAGAACTCAGTGAGGACATGACAGAAGACTTCCTGCCTGTGCTTAGGGAATATATATTGTATGCTGAATCAATGAAGGTAAAGAGAGCCCTGTGGCAGGAAGCGATGACGTGTTTGCCTAGAATTAGCAAATTCATTCTTTTTTAACAGTGAGAAATGGTGGTAGTGTGAAAAATGAGGAAGTAGATAATATATTAACTAGGAGGATATTTTCATAGTCAAAACAAAGCTGGGTATGTTTAATAGCAGGGTACTGCATAGGTAGCATTATTGGTCTCCTCTGGTCTTTGGTCCAGCTAGGGTAAGTATTGTAGAGCAAACCCAACATGTCACAGAGTTGCCCCTTCATTGGTGTGGCAGGTGCTACTCTACAAGAGACATCCTGTGACTGCCAAGAATCTTTCTTTGAATTGAAGCCAGTTGTGCTTCAGCTCTTCACTAGAGGGTCATTCCCTGGTCCAACAGGAAATATAGCATTAGCAATTTCTCTCACTTGTATGTAGCAGAATTGAGTGCCTTGTTTTAGAACTATGCATCCAAAAGACAGACATTGCTTCCTCTGTCATCCCCATACCCTTGGCATGATATGTCTGTTATTAAGTTCTGCATATCAAGTAACTGCTTAAAGATGGTATTCTGTGACTCGTAATCTTTCTAAGAACTTGATGTTTTACTCCTTATGCAGACGTAATAAAAGCTACTTTAATGCGGATTTTATTCTCTTGAACTTAAGGAGTGTTGGTAATCAATCACATCTTATGGGGAAAAGAATTAGTGAGTAAACTTCACTAAAAATAATATCAAGGGCTTCAGTTTGTCCATCAGAGCTTTTTACCATGTGCCGTGGCACAGTATGTGTCACATACATATATATATATAGCAGTCCTGCTATAGGGTACTAACAGACAAGTTCCTTCTGAAGACTTTCCACCTGGAGCAACTGTTACAAGGCTATGATATGCAATCCTTTAAACATCTAATAGCCCACTGTAAATTTACAGTCTGAATATGGTAGTCCTTCTCCATCTTTATCTTAATCTCATCCTGTGCTTCTCCAACTGAGAATTTAAACATTTGTAGATGTCTTTTCCCAGTTTCAGGTGTTGTATACATCTGTGTGGTTAAAGTATTCTTGCAAGTGGCTTTGCACTAATTCCCTGGGTATATTCTTTGCTTTTGTCACCATGGATTTGACCCCAGCATGAATGAGGTATATTTTCTTTATGGGTCTATTAAGAGTGAGCTGTAGGAAGCCTTGTGTCAGGATTTTTGGACTATAGGAAGTGGAGGTGGATGGAGCATGCTTACAGATAAACAGAACGTAAGGCTAGTGATTAAATACTTTAAACTCAGAACATCTGGCTTTTGATGCTAAAAATGCCTACTAAAGATGGCATCTAAAGGGGGAAGCTGAATTGTGAGAGGTGCTCTTCACAAATACAGCAGGGGAAGTTTTTTTAAGCTAAAAAGCAAGGGTTTCTTTAGGTGAAGAGGTACTTTAGGCAGAAAATCACCACTTACCACAGGCAGAGGAGCATTACAGACTTGCACCTAGGCTTTCTTTTGGCCTTTTAGAGCTCTTTTTGACTGGCACTGTCTCCAAGTCAACAGCTACTTAACTGTCTAAAGTACTTCTTCAGCTAAAGAAACCCTTGCTTTTTAGCTTGAACTTTTTAGACTGTTGACTGACTTGTATTCTAAAGGATTATTCTGTTTAGTGTCTGTCTTGGGCATCTTACTAGCTTTACTCAGTCTAAAAATTTGAAAATCAAGAACAGAAACTGTTGTGAGCCAAGAGAGACTGTTCGTATTTTCCTTCCATCTCATATAGCAAAATGGAACTCTCTCAGGTCCTACAAAGTGCAGTTTTCTTCTGCTAGAAAATAGTAGCCTGTTTCTGAAGTGAGGAGCTACTGAACTGTCCTTGCAGAATCCATAATACCAAGTAAGTAACCAAGGTTAGTGAGGAGTGCACCTCTGGAGTTCAGGACACTTTCTGTTGAAAGGGGCGTCCTCTTCACTAGCAGTACATTCCTCTTCAAGTAGTCCCCTTCAGCTGCTGTGAGGACTACTTGTAAGTTGAAAGTCTGTTTCAGTCTTAGAGAGCACATCTTTTGCACAGGGTACTTGATGGAAGGTAACTCTTCAGATACTAGAGTTCAGTGCAGCCTTGATTAGCTTTCTTTGTTGCACACTATACCCCTGGTGTAGGTAAGGGAGCACGATCTGTAGAGCAGCCTATAGCTGGCTGAATGTCTCTTGAGTAAGAACTGCCAGATTATCTATCGCTGTTCAGAGATGAGGAGGCCTTGATGTTTTCAGGAGAACTGTTTGCCTGAGGGGAAGAGCCTGAGGGAGCTGCACATACAGAGTCAAAGCCCAGTAATTCTGGTTGAATAGAATATTAGCTGATTTGAGGGAAGCCTGGCCTCTGGATTTGAAAGATTTGCAGAACAGGGCCGAAGCTGGTGTTGTGGTCTTGAGTTAAAATGTGCACTGGAAGTGTCTAGAAGAGACCCTTTCCAAATTAATTGCTTTGCTCAGCACTTGTTAGGCCACAACTGTGTTCAGTTTTTATTCCTTCTACCCTCAAAAAGATGTGGATAAGCTGAAGAGGGTCTGGAAGAGGACAACAAAGATGGTCAAGGGTCTGAGAAGCCTGCTGTGTGAGGAAAGGCTGAGAGAGCTGGGTATGTTCCACCTTGAGGAAGAAGGCTTAGGGAAAATATTATCACCATCTAACGGTATTTAAGGATTGACTTCAAATATGCTGAATGCTCCCTTTTCACAAGGAGACCCATGATAAAACATGGACAACCAGTGCAAATTACTCTTGGGGACATTTTCATTGAACACAAGAGGAGAATTTTCACAATGAGAACAATCAGCCTTTGGAATAATGTCCCCAGGGAAATGGTGGATTCCCAACACTGGACACATTTAAGATCTAGCTGGACAGAGTGCTGATCCATCTTGTCTAGATTGTGCTTTTGCCAAGTAGGATAGAATGATATAATCCTTGAGGTCTCTTCCAGTTTGGTATTCTGTGGTTTCTGTTACATGGCAAGGTGATGTCTCAGTTCCTGGTGCAGTGGGGCCCTTGTCAGCAAACACATGGTGCTACATTTGCTGATGTACACTGGTGTTTCCTTGGGAGGCATGGGCAGAGCACGGAATCTCCTATACTTGATTCAGTTCAGATATTAGGATGTTATGTGACTTGTGTTTGCTCAACATTGCTAGAAAGGTTTATTATGTGATGTGATGTGATCCCCAGGGGTGTTCTTAGACAATTACTTTTAACTCATGTTTAAAGAAAGCACCACATTAATAGGTAACTGTGTCTTTAAGGGCGTGAAGTAACTGGAGATCTCTTGTGATGTTTAGTCGCAGTAGGAAGCTATGTGGTGTGCAAACAAGATTGAAATTTAAATTTGAGATAGAAGGCTGATGGCAAACTCCTGAAGCTCTATATGGGCCAAGGTGACTCATAAATACAAAATGGTAAAGGACCTCCTGGAACAAGGCTAAGTCTTTCATGTTTACCTGCCCCTGGTTTAATTCTGACCTGAGGTGTGTTGATTGAGGTTTTTTCAGTTTTCAGTTTGGTTTCTTCCAGTTTTTTTTTCTAACTTTTTTGTCTCTGAGTGAAGCCTTAACTAGTATTGCATGGTCTGTGGTAATTTTGAGGATGCTTGATGGAGAGCTTTTCATAATTGCTGCTAAAGCATCAAAACAATGATCTAGAACAAAGGACATTGCCTGGAGGTGCCTGAGGAAAATATGGGAAAAGTCAAAGGGAGGACAGTTTTTTTTTCATCCCTTATAGGTCAGCCATAAATGGATACATAAAACTGTATTCACAAGCTCATTGGTAATGGTCCACAGTAGGTGGACTTGAGCGTTTAAGGGGAATTAAGACACCTGTTCTTTGAATCCAATTTGCCAATAACTATTAATCATGGGCTACTGCTGGTATAGATTCAGCTTCCCACACTAGCTCCAGGCTTCTAAAGGCAAAATGCAATTGCTGGACAGTTGATTTTCACAGAAGAAATTTCAATTGACTCTGGTTCAAGAGGCAATACAAAGTAGAAGTACCTATTAAATCTCTCAGACTTGTGTTGCATTGATAACCTCAATTACTTAAAGGCCATCCTCCACAGCTGCATAGATTCCCAAAGAGGGGCAGTTGTGGTTTTTCAAACAAACATAACCAATGGCATGCTTCTGCATCCCTTTTGGAACAAAAGGGAGAATTAAGCTGTTGCAGGTGAATTCTTCAGGTTTGCACTCTTTTTACTGACCAATCTAATAGTAGCTTTGTGGATGGGGTGCCATCCCCGTTTATCATGAATTGAAGTTTATAAGACTGTTGATGGCAACATCTCTACTCTAGAGCAACTGCATTGGTGACCTTCTCTTGACTTACGAAGGAGGAAGGGGATTATGATGATTAGTAGATACAGGGTTTGTATGTTCTTAATTGCCTTAATTACATCTAGACTGGCTGTTAGGCCGTATTTCTGTAGGCAGCAGTGCTCATGAGTAGTCCTGTATTACTAGCCTTGTCTGGACCTGTTAAAATGACTAGTTACCTCTTTGTGTCCTAATGGGACAATTCCTTCTAGGTGGCTGAAGGGAAAACGCAAAGCAAAGTTGCAAGAGAATTTCAAATTTACAGTGAGTGTTGGCTGGCTTCGGTCTGAGCATTTTTAATAATAACTTTGCAACAACAGAGTAATTTAAAAATACTAGTTATTTCTTTTGAAACCTGAAGTGGTAAGTTGCCTGCTCTTGCAGACACAGAACTGTTTTTTAGTAAATCATTCTTGGACAAGACTAATTCCTATGGTTGTTTTCAAACTCTAAGACTGTAGTATAACCTTAGTGAAGGTCTTTGTGGATATAGTACAAGCAAAGGGTAGCATCTTCGGCTCTCTGTTTTGAAAGTACTCTGTCAAGAAAATGTTTACTGCTTGAGACGTTCTCTCAGCCAGTCCAATTCTTTTCATATAAATTGTCCTTTTCATAATTTTCTTCTTTTTTTAATGAAACCAACAACCAACCCCCCCCAGACTGATCTAAAACAAATGCTTACTTTAGCTCTAACACCAGAATGTGACAGGTTGCTTTAAAGCATTCTGAAGAGTCTTTGAAACTGAAAAGGAAGCTGTAATACCTTCTGTGATGGTCTTCCTGTCTCTTAGCCAATGCTGTTTTCTGTCTGCTGCTTGAGGATATCAGAAACTTTACATTAGCCCTTGTCAGCTTTGATGCTTTTGTTTATATAATTTCCATGGTAGTAACAGGTCAACTGATGAATTAAATTTATTTAGTCAGGGTTATATTAATGGTTTCATGACAGCTTCTATATTGCATGCCTCCAGCTTGTCCAAATGTTGAATTTTATCTGCCCCTGCCAGCTGATGGAGAGCAAGTGCTGTTTATTATTAAAAGCTACTCCCTAAATGCTGAAAAATAGGACAAAGTAAATCTGGAAGTCTGACTTAGGGCTTAATTGGCACTGAAGATGTATCACTTTAGAGTTTCTTGTGGGCTGGGGGAAGAAGCTAGAGGATCCCTTCACGGCTCTCTTTTCTCTTGCCCATAGAATGTGTTGAAGAAGAGAGACCAAGTTCAAGCGGAGTATGAAGCAAAACTGGAAGCAGTAGCCTTGAAAAGAGAAGACCGTCCAAAGGTTAGCACTTAAAATTGCTCTACAAAAACTGTTTGCGCTTACAGTTCTTCATGAAAAGAATGGAGATGCAGAACTTGCTTTTTTTTCTGGATTTGGTGGCTTCTTTGCAGTATAGGCAATTTCTTGCAGAGCAGAAATTTGTTGTTGGCAAGCTGGTGTGAAGTAAAGACCGAAGTATGAATATATGTAACTTGTTTAGCAACTTCTGTACTATCGATCTCTCACACTTCAGAGTAGGATGGTTCTGTAACAGTTCAACAGCAGCCAGCAGTCAGCTGGACTGTTCAGTGACAGGTAACAAAGCAGTGGTAGAACAGTCCTTGGTGACTCAGCAGTATGCCAGCTAGCTGAGTTAAGGTTCTATCCCTTGCACTGTGGAACTGTATTGTTACAGAACACTGGTTTTGGCTGTGGAAAAATCCTTATTTTGCCCTTTCTGCTAGGGAGGTCTACTGTGTGATGCTGAACAGAGATGGCATGTGTCACTGGATGACACATTTTGGCTGTGCACCATGCAAAAGCAAACCTGTGAACTGACATGCTTATGCTGCCACCCGCTTCTGCGTGAAACAAAGTGCAAGTCTTTTTTTAAATCGCTACAGCTTTAACTGATGATGGCAACAGGGTTTGTTCTCTTCCTCTGCTTGGAGGTTTTTGGTTTCCCTTATATTTGTGTTAATAATGAATGGATGACTTTACAGTATTAGGACTGTTGTACAGTAAGATTCACTCTACAGTAGGTTCACATAATATTTTTAATTTAAGAAGCTGAAGAAGACAAGAGCATAGAAATGCAAAAATGTTTTCCAGATCTTTTATCCATAATGATAGATACAAATAGTGGTGTACTAGGTGTTTTGTGGTGCACTTTTATTTATTTGAGTCTACTGCCTACCCCTCTCCTGGCTGGTGTGGTATAAATTCTACTTCCTCAGTGTAACTTTGTATAAATAGGTTCTAACAGTTGTATCTAGGATGGAGGGAACTAAATCTAGCATATCCTCCAGCAAGCCAGGTTTAAGGCATTTGACTTTACCAAGATCTTGAGGCAGTGGAATTGATGAATTTTGCTAATCTTGCACCTGTTAAAAGGCCTTTGGATCTCATCTCTCAGTGGGATTATTGCGTAAAGATCAGCATTTAAGTCTTGTGAATTTTTTGAATACCTAAGCCAGAGTATCGGCATATTTTTTGACAACTCCTTGTACCTTTTTGTAACATAAGTAGTTTGTGTCATTTACAAGATGAAGTTGAACAAATGATGTAGAACTCCTTGCACATTCATAAAATACTATCTCTGGTGTTTTCAGAATCTTTCCAGCCAGAGGATGTGTCATTACCTGTAAGAGCTGATAGCTCAGAGCTGTGCCTAGCAGCATATCTTACATTCAGGGAAGTCTCCTGGCTATGATTTGCTGGAAACTAAAAGCAGGCAGAGAATCGTGTTGTGGAATGGCATTTGTCTTCCTTGTGGCATATTTGCTGATTTGTTAGAAATGATGTAGAAAGATCCCAAAGGAAAACTTAAGAGAGCAAAGGCCTTTGTTTAGATCTTGAAAGGAAAGCCTATCACTACTTGATAATCTCTCACTGGAGTGCATTCTGGGCCTCCGATGCACATACCCAGCCTGGCATCACAGAGCTCACCAGGTCATTAGATTGTTCTGGCCATGAGATCAGCCTAGGGCTCAGTGGCCTATGAATGCAAAAGGCTTGTAGTGCTACTGTGCCTCTCTGTCAGCAGAGACTGCTCAGAATGCTGGAGTTTACACTGAAAGCGCATTGTGGGTGGTGTTTACTGGTAGCATTATAGTGTTTGTGTGGATTCTGCAGCCTTTCAGTTTCTAACAGGTGCACTGGTGGAATGCCTCTCACCCATTTCTGACCCACGCTGGAGCTGATTTTGCAGTAATCTGATCAGCATACTGAAGGATGGGTGTGGTTTCGTTTTGGTGAGATGAAGTTTGCCTCTGATCTGTTTTATTCTGTCTACATCAAGGCTTTGAAGTGTCGTGATCTATGGGAACAGTAAATAAGGCACTGCAGAACTTGAAGGGGGGTGGGGGAAAAAAAGCCTTGTAACAGAAAACTGTTTCCCAAGAACGAGGAAGGTAGAAATATCTTGTGCAAAGGTTAGTTGTCTAATTAAAGCTGGACTTGTTCTGCTTTAGGACCATTTGTTATTTGATAATGATGATGTAGAGGAGTTTTAAAGTGAACATGCTAGCTCTAATTGACCACACTAAATTACAGATGGTAGGCAAGCTTAATTATTTAAGAGAACAGAAGCAGCGTGAAGGGGATTAGATGTACATGCAGAACTTCTTATCATATATGTGCAATTTTATGCTCAATTCTTGCTTGCATTTACTCCTCTCATCAGTTGAAATTGACTCACTAAAATAGTCCTGGGCCCTTTATGAGTGTGTTGAAGTTTGAACCATTTGTTACTTTGGTTTTGTGGCTTGGGGGGTTTTTGAGCTATTAAGTACCTGAGAGCAGATATCAGTTAAGAAGTAGCAACTTTCCCCTGAAGTCCAGTCTGCTTTCTTCCTGGTTCTTAGTTGTTAGCTAATATTTAATGTCTCCATTGGTGAAAACAGATAAAAGCATCAGCTTTGATGCTTCAGCTTAGGCCTAAATTTGATGATAAATATTTAATATCTCTTTGCATTGAGTTTGCACTGATAAAAAGTGCTTAAAGGCTGTTAATGAACTTAAAATTTTGTCTTAAATACTGAGTTGCAAATTGTGTTCTAGGAAGCTGCAGTAAGGTAAGGCATTTGCACTCCCAGATAGGACTGCTGCATGTGCAGACACTACTTTCATGATGCCTCTAGAGACTTAGTTGGAGTTCGTTTTTGCTGTTGTTCCTTAATGAGAGTACACGTGACCCATCTGTTGACCACTGAGTTATCCCTGTAGCTCTAAACTTATACAGCCCTCTCAGCCTAACCAGCCAGAAGACTTTCTGTGAGAAAGAAGTTTTTTGTATAGCTTCATTGTGGTTTCAGATCCTGGCAAAAGAAGTAGAAAGCTGGTGAGAGCTTAGAAGCTAAGTTAATTGGATTGTGAAATCCTACCTGGCTTTGCTTCCAGACTTCATGAATATTTCTCTTGATAGGCTAGTCTTTACCATTATGATAGCAGAGTACTTACAGTGCAAGGCATACAGGCCTTGTGGGGAGCATCCTCTAAACCTTCCAGTCCCTGGCTTGGTTGTTCTAGTCTGCAGCCTATGAGGGAAATTCATCTGGAGTTTTAGCAGAATGTATTATGTAGTCATAAGTATAGTGCTCAAACATGGCAGGGAGAAAAAGTATCTACTGAACTTTCAAGCTGCCTGTAGTGTAAATTCAGTTGTGTGAATAAAGGGGAGCTCAAATCCCATGAGTATGAAGAGCTCTGCATCTCAAACAGGTGGGTTTATTGAAGAATAGATGTAATTCCTTCTCTGAGTAATAAAGCAATCAGCCCAAATCCATGTCCTGGAGAAGAAACACGGTATGTTTCTGCCTAATTTGAGTACCTTACCGAACTGCAAGATAGTAGCCCACCTCTAACTTCATGTGGGTATCCATGAATAGCTTCTTATGTAGTCTTTTCATCCTCTTCCTTCTTTCATGCCCCTCAGAAGGGGAGTTTACGGAAAGTATCAAGTATGAGAGGAGCCACCACAGAGTTCTTCAAGTGTTCTTCATTCTGTATTTTGCCTTTGTACAAGTCACAGCTTCCAGAGCAAAACTACACTTCTCACTGTGGTACAGGACTCAGGCGTTTCCTCTTCTAAGCTTATGGGCTTAGTCTGCATGTCCTTACAAGATTCCTGTCTTTGTGGACCATGCAGCAATGAGAAGGGGAAAAAAAGGTGTTCAGCTTCCCTGCTTGAGGAAACACTTGTAAATTATTCCTGTATTTGCCTGGTGGTATACATTATATTAATTAAAACATAAGCAAAGACCACCAACCTAGTTGGTCTAAAGTGTATGTCCCTTGGTCTAGTGACTACTGTCAAAAATCCATTTACATCTCTACTTCAGCTTGCAGTAGGCTGTCCTTCAAGATGTCATTTGTTGCTTTTGCATGGTTGCATGCCCGTTGTTGAGCCTAAAAATCCATTAGCCCATCCCATGTTGATGATGATGAGTGCTTTGAGTTATATTTTTTTTGAGAAGCCTGTAAGGTTAAAAGTGGAAGCTAGAAAATAAGGACTTAAAAATTTTATTCTGCAGCTGTCAATACCAAGATGTCTTATCCAGCTTTTTGGATAAACCTGAATGTTTGTTGTTATAGACACACTAATTCAAAGTGGGACATTCCTACTGCGTCTGTAAATGGGAAGCAGGAAAGTTTGCTATGGAGCCAAGCTGCTCAGTTTGAGTGCTAGGAACTGAGCCTCAGTGCCAGCACTTAGACCAAATGGTTTTCCTATGCCTTTAGCAAGTGCTTCCTCCATGCCTCTGTAGTAGACATGGAGATGGGCAAGCATGAGCACTCACCACTTCAAACAGCGAAGAACAAATTTAGCAATCTCACATTCTCTCTAGTTCAGAAGTGTTGCTTTTTCCCTGCAGCCATAACTGAATTGATTCACAATAACTACTGCATTGTGCACTTACCCTTTCTTCTATAGTTTTGCTCAATAAGGTTTGAGCTAATTCAGCAATCTAGCACTCTTAATGACAGTTTAAATCTTAATTTCTTTTGCTGCAGGTACCCACAGATGTTGAGAAATGTCAAGACCGAGTAGAATGTTTCAATGCTGACCTGAAAGCAGATATGGAGAGATGGCAGAACAACAAAAGACAAGACTTCAGGCAGCTACTCATGGGGATGGCAGATAAAAACATCCAGTACTACGAGAAGGTATGTGTCACTATTGGAGCACTAGCAGGAAAAAGTAGTTTATTTTCCTCTGAAGTGGTGATAATTCTTCATGAAATATTCACGCTGTCCTGAAGACAAGAATATTAGACATCTGAATCTGCTCTTTGTCAGAGTTGGAAGTCATGGTCGAGTGAGCTCTGCGAGACTAGTGGTCTTTTGCAAGTCAGCACTCTAACAGCATTTTATCATGCATGCTTGTCTGTTTTGCACTTTTGAATTGAACAAATTACTGAGCAGCAGCAGTGGTGATGATAAAAACGCCAGAATTGCACATTCTAGTAATAGTACCAGAGTAGAAAAATCTCTTGGTTCTGCCTTTTATGAACAAAACTACATGAGTTAATGCACATCTACAGACTCATACATAGATTACATCTGCAATGTATAAGTTATTCTAATCCCTGTCCCTTAATGCATCATTCTGTCCCTTGTATACTAGTCCTGAAAATACCTAGCCTCTGCCCTTTTTCAATTGGTGCATTTGTACCTGAGGTTTGGTGTTAAATTTTTAAATTTTTAATTAAAAGGACCTTGACATTTAACTGCACATGCTTCTAATCTAATTTTCCTTTTTGCTAGAACAGTGCAGCCCAGTGCAGTGGTTGATACCATAGGATCCCAGAATGGTTTGGAAGGGACCTTCGAGGTCGTTAAGTTTCAACCTCCTGCCAGAGGCAGGAATGCCTTTTGCTAGAATAGGTGGTTCAGAGCCCCATCCAGCATGAACCTAGAACACTTCCAGACATGGAGCATCCACAGCTTCTCTGGGGACACTGTTCCAGTGTTTTCTCATCCTAAAAGTAAAGAATTCTTTCCTAATTGTCTAATCTAAACCTGCCCTCTTTCAGTTTAAAACAATTGTCCCTTGTCCTTTCACCACAAGCCCTTGTAAAATGTCCTCCTCCAGCTGTCTCATAAGCCCCCTTTAGGTATATTAAATATTTACAGAATATTAAACACTACTGGAACTACTAGGCTTATGTATTGCCTACTAAACTATACTTTATCTTGTCTGTTCATTTTTACACATCTACTTTACAAGCTTCTTCCTGTGCTAGGTTACTTCACCATGTAATATTAGTATGCAGTACTTTGTCCCCTTCCAATGTCTGTCTTGTCATATTTCATAACTGCTCACACATAACTTTCTTCACTCTGGTCTCTCAGTTGTAAGGCTGCTGTGGAGGGGGATGTTGGAGACTCCACTGAACATCCAGCTGTGCCTTTGCAATTGACAGTTACATTTGTACATTAGTTTTGCTTTTAGCAAGGAAGCTTTCTTGGTAAGAAAGTGTCCAGTTGCTTCAGGGTGCACAACTAGAAGTACTGTATTCATCTGCAGTGTAGTCAGCAAGGTTAGATGGAAGTTGTCTGTCAACAATGACTTGTGGATATAAGAGCTACTGATGAGTTTGCCCATTTCCAGCATTTAATAATTTGGATTCCACAGTCTGTATTTGCCCAGTTTGACTTCTGGGCTCTATGTGGTTGAAAGACAGTAACAACACACAGTACAAGGACTGTACTAAGTGTATGTGGCTGGGAAAATTACTCCAAAGCCTAGAGTGACTTTCTAATAACCCAGCACCTACAGTCCACTTACAGTTTACTCTACCAGGCACTACCAGTTCATCAGGTAGTAGAGTCAAGTCCCAGAGCCATACTGGAATACACTGTGTCACAGAATTTACTTCCCTAAATGCATGCTTTCTTTCAAACAAATTTGCTGGAGGTAGTCTGTAATAGCTGTCATTATGTCCAAATCAGTCTTCACCCTCAGTCATGCCACAAAGACATGAATTTCTACTCAAAACAGTTCGTCTGCCTAGCTGAAAGCTGTGATATTTTTCAGCTTAGAAAAATTTAGGTTAGTATTTGGAAATCCTGTGTGTTCTGAAGATTTTTAATGGCTTGGGCCAGCTTATGACTCTGGAAAACTTGAATTTGTTGAATTTGTTTGGAAGGTGCAACTATGCTAACATTTCCTTGCTGTTCGACATTCTGGTTTTTTCCCCCTTCTGTAATAATCTATAAAGACCTACGTAACTTTTCTTCAGCTTGCTTGCTGTTGGTCTGGAAGGTTGGTCAGAAGTTATATGAACCAATAAAAACATCAGTTTTGTAAATCTTTCTTTCTTTCTTCAGTGCCTTACGGCGTGGGAGTCAATTATACCACTGTTGCAAGACAAGCCAGAGACCAAATAAGAAGTACCTTCACGGACAGTCTAGCACTTCTATGCTCAGTACCACTAGTCATACTGGAACTGTATGGAGGACTCTTTGTTAAGTTAATTGAAATGACAACTGCACTTAGTTTTTCAGAGTATCTGTTCCAGCCTATTTGAATTTTTTTCCTCAATTTTTGTGTTTAAACCTGGGGTATGTTTCATCTTTTTGAGTTATCTTGAATGGTTCCTTCTTTATCCTATGGAGTGATTGGGGTTCACAGTGAAAGTGCATGGGGATCTTGTTAAAATTTACCTCTCTAGTCTGGAAGGAACTGATGAGTGGAACACTAAAAAGATGAAAATAAAACTCTACTGCAAGGTGCCAATTTTTACTTTTCTGTTTTGTTTGCTTAAAAAAAACCCAATAATTATTTCTATGAAACATTACTCTCGAACCAATCCTTTTTTTTTTTTTTTTTTTTTTTTTTTAATGTACAAGGAAAGGCTGGGAAAGAGTATTTTCTGTTTTGCTACCAGCCGTGTACTGCCTCTGGATGAAATGGTCTCTGTAGACTTTTCTGTCTGGGAGTCAGGCTGGTTCTAGACAGACCATACCAACACTAGCTGCAGATAGCTGGTGATGCAAGCATGAACTGTGGTTTTTGTGAGTGTGGCATGCTGTTGGTTCATACTGAGTATCTTTGTTTACCTTGGTGATTATGAAGTAATGTCAGTTGACTGAAGCATACTTGTGACTGACTTGGGGATCAAAACCAGCCTAGCAGCGGGAATGAGTTGAACTGCAGCCTTTCAAGGGTTGTTTCTGGAATGAGGGAGGAAGTATGAGTCTAATTTTTCCAAAGCTAGCTCTGGAAGTTGCGCGGTGATCTCTTACACCATACTTTATATATGGATTTTACTAGAGCCACTTTAGGCTTGGTCACCTAAGACGCCTGCTGTAGTAAAAGTAGAACTCTGCTTTCTCTCCCCACGCTTTCTTTGCAGCAGCCAAAAGCCAAAAGATGTCAAATGTTTCCTTCCACCAAGCGTCCGTGTGTAAAGCTTGCCTTAAATGGGCTGGTGAGGGATAGATGGGTACCCTCTTAGGTACACATAATGTTCATACCTGTCTCTGCTGAACCACGTGGCAAGTCTTTTAGGACTGCTTTTTGTTTTCTGTTTTCTTTGTAGTTTTTGTTGGCATTTAGAATTGCATCTGCTTCTGCAAATCCCTTTTTTGTCCTTGCTCTTGCAGTCCAACCTCAAGTAAATGCCTACTTGGTGTTAATGGCCTTAGGAATGCTGACGTGATTTAAACATCCTAGTGAGGGGGGTTGGGGCTCATATGAGTGTAATACTGGGATTTAAGGCAATAAATAACTCTGTGCTTACTGCTAAATTTGAGTGATTACTTGTTCTCTGGCAACATTCTTGCAAAGAATGTGAGCAGTGATTGATTTTGTGCAACTTCTCTGTTGTCCTGTAACAACCTATCAGGTCTGATTTGGAATTTCTTCCTTCATAAACACGAACTGAACATGCAGTCACCCTTCTCAGCCTGGTGGCTTTATGGAACTCTCAAGATGAGTTATTGCAGCACTGTGGTAGCTGTCAGGCTAATGAGATGGTGTTCTCTGCATGAAAAACTAAAATATAAGACATTTTAAGAAATTCTTCTGTTTGGCTCAGCCTTCATTGACAACTTTGTGGTACTAAAACTATGTTACTTTGGTTTAAGGTCAATTTGTCAATATGCACTTTTTGGTGTAAATGAGAACTTTGTTTTAAATTCCTAATAGGTTCAGAATCACGGACTCCTCTTGTTCAGGGGAAGTACTTGAGGGGATCATCTTGAAGCAATCTAGAATAAGCACCTGCATACTATCTAACAGTCTGTCCTTCAGGGTTACAGTCTTCCCCATTTTCCACAAAGAAATATCAACATGCTTTTTTGAATTAGTTCATGTGGAGTAAATGGAATTTTGTAGCTGACTCTACAGCATCACTGAGACTCAAGCAAAATATATTTTGAACTAATATTTAATCAGTCTTCCCACCATCTTATTAAAATAAACAGCACAAGATGAGTAGAAAGAATGGTGGCTTTTTCCTACAGGTGATTTCATCTGATGCCTTATAATACTAAGGGACTCTTCCTGCTTTGCTTTATGTCAAACTGAAGTGGGTGTTGCTTCTGGGAAATTCAGCAATTAGTATCACAGCTGTTCACGAGAAGCATAATGGAAGTGGACAGTACCAAGTGAAGTTTAAGTCAACATGTAACTGTTGAGGCTGGAGCTGCTGAAGATTGAGATATCTTATGTGATCTGGACCAAAACATCTTAAGCTCTTACAAGGGAAGTAAAACTTGGCATTTGAAGAAGTCCTCTGCAAGAACTGCTGCAGTGTAATAGAGGTGTGTGCCTTGGTGAGTCTCTGTTCCTACAGGCTGTGTAGTGGTCTGCTCTTCTGAAGAGTTGTTGTAAATCACAAGGTGACTGGGGGAGAAGCTGTGGGTGAGGTGTGGGGAGGATCCTGACCATGATGTTTGGGCAGCCATGCCAGTCAGGAAAACTACAAAAGTTGCAGGAAATTCTGGCAAGATGTGCAGAGTGACACTTGTATCACATAACTGCTGTTAGAGGGAGGTTGAGTCCTGAACTGAGAGTGAAACTCTTAACACGTTATCCTGTAATACTTATAGAATAAGTCTTTGCTTTGGATGGCCCACACTTCCATGAGAGAAACAAAAGATGTTGGTAAAGGGAAGCAGGAATAGTCCAGGAGCTTCATCTTTTTTGTAACTTGAGTGTTAAATCACTTAAGATGACTCTCTGCACATGCACCAAAATGACACCAAAAGCAGTCACCCTTTTTATGAGCCTATTTAACATGTGGTTCTTTCAGCAGTCCTTAAATTAGCCCAGTTTTCCTCATAATCCATAGTCAGAGCAAGACTCTCTCAGCAGATGCGTAATTCACTGCTGCCCATTTCAGTATAGTTTCTGTGGTGTTTGTTTCTTCTCTTAAGTGGCACCAGCACAGTAAAGCAAGCACTGAGATCTTGTTTCTATGCTCAGTAATGGACCATACATTGTTCATGTATACCTCCATCAGGTTCTAAATCTTGCAATAAACATAGATGTTAAAACATCATGGCTTTTTCAGGTATACATTGGAAAATTAAAAGGTAATATGTGTAGCTCTAAAGACAAACAGTTTTGGTGTGAGTTGTATTAGAGAATGAAGTATGATTCTTCACTGAAATCTGCTTGGATTTTTGCTGCACTAAAACTTGTGCTAAGGATAAAGTAGTGGAATAGCTGGTAGAAACAAAGCATGAGTGGCAGAGAGAGTTCTGTGGAGGTACTGTGCAACAGCCTTGAAGCAGTGGCTCTGCATACCCTGTTCGTGACATATATTGCTTCAGGTGTCAGTCCTGCAGATGCAAGGATACAAAAGAATTCTTTCCCACATCAGCAGAGACTGTTCATTATTTTAACAGCAGCCATGCTTTTGTTAAAACTTGCACCATTTAACTGGGTATCATTATTATTGTTGTTGCAGACTGTTGAAAATCCTTGTTCTGAACAAAACTGTATAGACTAAATTAGCTCATTAGATGTTCTGTCATCTTAAATTCTGAAGGTAGAACATTCTTTCCTTGGGTATATTAACTTTTACTTCTACAATATGTAGGGAGAATGAGGACTTTTTTTCTAAAGATAGGCAAGTTGCCACTACTTTTTGGATTATTTTTTTCCTCTTGTGAAGTAAAACTGGGGATCACAGGAATAAACTTGCCTTCTGGCAGACTGAATGTGGCATTTTAGACTTTTTGGGAGTGCTATTGAACCAATTTACAAACTAAAATGGCAGTGCTTCATTCTGTGCTTAGCACTTGAAAGTCTTGCTGAAGTATCTGATTTGTAGAATCAGATACTTAGTAATGAACTGGACAAGTTTTAAGGTTGCATGCCTAAAGTACAGTAAATTTGCAGAAAATAATGAACTTTCTGAAGAGGTATGAGTAGATCACCCTTATGTAAATGGCATGCTAAAACAATAAAGGCTAGTCACTGTCCTAGACACTTTGAAGGTATTGGTATTCTGTGCTTTGAAGCTAAACCATTTCCTTAACCCTGGTGGTGGGATATGGATCCATACCTTCAGATGAAGCTGCAGTGTTGTGGCCAGTGCAACATTCCCACTGCACAAGGAGACAGGTTAGTGAGGGCCAGTCTTACAAGAAGAGCCAAAGGGCTTTTGTCTACAGTACACAGAAATAAAGAAGCACCGTCCTTATTCTTGCTCTCTGTGCCTGCATCCCTCTGTCGCTCCTTAAGGTCTGGAGAGTTGGGCCACGCAGGTGAAGGCAAGGTGGCTGTGAGCTTCACACAGTGTGTTGAAGGTGTCAGTGATGGGGTTCTGGTTCCTTGTCCAGACTCTTCTGCTTTCACTCTATAAACCCACTCACCAGAACTAGAGTCACTGTTCATACCATTAAAATTCTGTGAAAAGATTTGTCTCTGTGTGAATTAGCTAGTAAACAATGTAAAAATGGGAAGGAGGCTTTTACTTCCTGTACTTGGTCAAATCTGGGAACCGTGCTCTTGTTCAGACTTGCAGGCTAGGAAATGTCTTGCCTTCTGATGCTGGCATGTTTCTATACCCTTTCATATATCTTTAAATATACTTTGTGCATTGTTTACTATGGAGCTAGTATTGATGGAGAAAAATGCTTTGAGGTAAAACTGTTTGTAATTCTCTATTAGCGTGTACATTTTTTAAATGCACCATTTGGTTACCTCAATTAATTTAATGGAATGGACCAATAAATGTATTAAAAGATGACTCCTTTGCTTAGAATAAAGTTTCAATTTTTTGCAGTCTTCACTGGTGAAATTATATGTGTGCTTATTTTGCTAAGTAGCTCACTGCAGAAATACCCTTCCCCTAAAAATCTTCCACAGTTGATCTAACTAGAAATCCTCTGACCTGTTGCTGCACTGCTTCTAGTACTGAAAGTGAAGGAGCTGAGGAAAGATTGGATGGTGGGGAGAGGGTTGATGACAGGGTGACAGCGACTTCCTCAGAGCAAGAGATTGTGTAATGATGAACCAACTTCTTCTTGCTATACCTCTTACTAGAACTGAAGATGCCTGATTTGCCTCAAGATTATTTCAGTTATTTAAAGGCTTTTAACTTCTCTTTACTTAGTCCAGGACCTTGGAAGCTGCTTAATCCTTTTTAGTTCAATTAGCATGTAAGCAGACACATTCTTGTGAGACATGCCAGATTTTTAACTCATGTTTTGATATATGTGACATCATCTCATGCTAGTTGCTGTATTGTATGAGGTTCCTTTCCAACTCAGTTAAAGCTGAGGTAAAATGGTAACTGTTACATGGTATCAGTGTCCCTACACCTGTATAAATCCTGTAGGAGCTATGTGCTGCACTTACCTGTTCTTAATCTGTTACAAGAGTAGCACATTGTGGTGATGTGAGCTGAAACACCAGGCGTTAGCTCTTGAGTCGTAGTCCTCGCATGAGCTCTGCTGAAGCACTGTCCAGGGACATTGGGGCAATCTCCCAGAAATCAGGGTCATGAACATCTGTTCAGGGGTGTTTTATTGTAGGGATACTAAAATTCTGTTAATCTGACATATTTTTATGGTGGTATTTCTCTATTTAATGGTATGTAACATTAATTGGCTGGGCTGATAATATCTGTAGGAAGTACAGAGCCAGTGTGTCCTGCTGATGGTCCTGTGCACATGACATGTGGCCTGCAGCCCCGTTTCATCAGCCAAAGCAACAGAACTGCCGTGAGATTTCTGAATGAACAGACAAGGCACTAATGGAAAACCAGTCCTTTACTTTCCACTTCCATCTGAGTGATGTGTCTAGAAATGCCATTTTCATTTCTAGACAATATTCTTGTCTCTCTTTGGTATTGCTAAGCAGCCTAGCAAAAACCATTCTGCTGCACCTGCTCTGAGGACTGCTGGTGTGCAGTATGTGCCAATGCACACACTCTGCAGGATGGGGTGCGTGCTGCAGAAATAACTAGGCAAACATCTCTTCCTAGGTGAGTTTAGTGGCTGAGAGGTTGTGGCATGCTGTGAAGTGGAAATAGAAATGTTCTGTATCCTGTTGTATTGGTAACTGTAGAGACTAACAATAACCAGAAGATGCCTCCGTTACTCAGTCAGAATCTCAAGGGAGCCAGTTGTTGACCGTTGTTTGATGGCCACAAAGCTGTCAAGAACAATAAAAAATGCAGATAATAAGAATTGGCAAACCAGCTTATCAAACTGAAATTTGCTCTTTCCACATCTATGTCTTACTTTCCTGGGGTGTCTGGAGCTGGCTGAGTGATAATAGGATTCCTCTCAGCGATCTGCCAGCTTCTCTTGTGTATAAGCAATATCATTGGCACCATTTGTAATCCTTCATTTTAATAACCCATTTTTGTGCGGATAATTATACTTCTGCTTGGAATCTGCATTGAAAAGCATTTGAGTAGCCAGCAGTGACCCCTGTTAAAGGGAGGGTTGCATATCAGAAACAAGTCTTTTGTGTCTGGAAGATCTGAGGAAGAAAGCAGAGCCAGGGGAATGATGAGTATGAAGTAACCTTCCCCAAACTAGTAGTCCTGAAGACACTGGTTGTCAAATGCATTCACAAGCCCAGAAAGCCTTTGATACTCTGGATAAAATAGAGGTGGTGGTGGAGGAGCTTTCCTTAGTGTTGCTTTTTCTTCCTCTCTAAGTGGTGCTGCTGAAGTCGGTATACATAGTGCTTTTAGATGTTGTATTACTATATTTTGTTTAAACTACAGCAGAGCTAGACAGGAATTTTGCCTGGAATCAAGCATTAGCCTATCCAGTATGTCTGTTATATACGAATAAAAATATTGTTGTTACATGGATTAAATACTGACATTATCACAGTTCACACAGAAAAAAATCTTGCTGTTCCTTGTAATAGAACATGCTAGAGTCTTGGGGAGGCTCTAATGGACAAAGTGAGATTTGGAAGGAGAGCCTTCAAAAAATCTGTAAAAATAGATGGAGGGGTTGTTTCAGCTTTCTCTTTTAAAATTAAGCTGGTTTTGTGCTTAAAAGTTGTTCCTGAAATTATACCTCTCAGACACTCCATAGTGGTACAGTTGGGCAAATTCAGTGGACCAGAGAAGTAACCTTTTCCTTCACTGTAGTAATGGTTTCTCTTTGAAACATTTGAGAGAGACTCAAGTTATTCTTTTCTGTCACAATGGGTAAGTAACATATAATGGAATTTTTTAAAAAACATTTTACTTTTTTTAGGATTATTCCTTCATTCTCCTTACTGGTATTTTCACAGTATCAAACATTTACATTTTTGCAAATGCTTTGTTCCCTGGGACTATTAGCTGTTAAACTGCCAAATACTCTTCCTACAGCAATTCATGTTATATTGAACAAAATTAAGATTTAAAAAAAACCTTGCTAGACATTGTAACTTTCATTCTTTGAATCTCTTTGATATTTGTCAACTCATTTCTGCAAGTTTCTTTGTTTTTCCCATTTTTATTTTTTTAAATTCAATTGGTGGGGGGTGTTGTTTTCTTTTTAAAATTCTTTCCTATCTGTATCATATACTTTATGCCAAGAATCAGGAAGAACAGAGAAAATGCAACATGTCCTTTTGAACAAAATCTTTCCTATTTCTTACCTTAAAGGGAGGAGACTCAGGCAGCCAACTAGAAAAGACAGAATGAAGCAGAAGCCACTGTACCAGTCCAGTGTGTTTTGATAGATCTTGTTGTAGACTGTAGATGTCACTACTCCCGTGGTGACTAAAGACAGCTGCAGCAGAACAAATACCTTACCTGTAAGACAGGAACATAGTTTGTTACTGGAGATTAACAAACCAGCCGTGGTGCCTCCCTGACAAATCCAGGATCACAACTGGGTAGTCATTTCCCCTCTAACACCAGATGGCATGAGCTTGTATCAGCTTCTGTTCTAGACCACAGTTAAATTATTTTTTCCTTTTAGGTGTTGACCAAAAGATTCAAATGGAAAACTGTCTGCCTAAACAGTCAACATATAAAGGTAGCTGCTTATAAAAGCATAAAAGCATTAAAAAAATAAACTGGGTAATAAGTGCTCCTTTTCCTAGAGGTAGAAAAATAGTCTAGAACTGACATCTTCAAGACAGGAGAAACTTTAGTCAGGGTCTGCTTCTGGCCTAGGCCAGGAAAGTGGTTCACAGGGCTGAAATTACAAAAAATGCCTGAAATGGGGATTGTGTGATTTATATGATATTTCGTGTGGTAGAAAGGCAGAAACTGAATTCTAGTTGAAACCACTTTTTACTGACGGATTTCTGTCGTGTTAAATGGGTGAAAGGAAGTAACCCAGCCCTGCTGGGACTTGGAGACTGGGGGCAAAGTCAGGGCTGTGTGTTGAGCTTGCTGCCCTGGTAGCTTTCTGCAGCCACTCAGCACCAGCAGCCACCAGCTAAGGAGATGAGACTGCAACCAGAAGGTGAGTGCTGCTCTGCTGCAAGGTCCTACTCGAGGTCTGGATTGATGCCATCATCACGTGCAACCCATATGGCTCGAGGTGGAGGTTAAAAACGTTTGATTTATTTGGTGAATTTGGGCTGTGAGCTGTGCTGTTTGTGGCAGGTAGATGATTTTGCTACAGTGGATGTTGAGGGAGCATAAGCAGTAGGAAGGAACTGGTGACAGAGCAGTATCATGTTCATTTGGCAGAAAGGGAAAGGTTATGTAGGATGCAGAGGAAACGTGTTTGGAGGAGGTATGAGCAGTTGTGGGCCTGTGGTGCTGTTTGAATGAATGGCCAGTCCTACTGTATCTTGTGTCTAAATCTACCTTGTTGGGTTAAAAATGGTAGGCCTCAATATGCAGCTGTAAAATACCTTTCACTAATTTTTAATTTATATTTTAGTGGGAAAGAATTCTAATTGCTGTTCCAAGAAGGGTCAATTTGTATGCAAAAGTTATTCTTTGTAGTTAAATCAGGCCTGACAGGAACAAACTGCAAAACACCTAAAGAAATGTTTAGAGAGCATAACTGAAAAAAAGAGATAAAAATAATCCATCCTTCCCAAAACTGGACGTAAAAGAAGCCAGATATAAACGGTATGAATACCACAGTGCTTCAACTCAATGTTCTGCTTTTCTTGGTTCTCTCTGCAATACTGTGTTTTTGAGCAGCACCTCAGCTATTTTCCCCACCTTTGAACTATGCACTGATTGTAATCTTTTGAAGTACATGCTGAAAATTCTGTGGATAAATGATGATGCAACCCAGTACAAGAAGATTGGATATGAGAATCTTGTCCAGCAAGTTTCTCTGCTTCTCCCTTCCTGTTTGTGGTATCGTCTGTTCTGGTATTATTACACAAAGAACAGATTGCAGCAGTAACTTACCTTTCTCTAAGTATTCTAGGCTGAATAAAGAGATTTCAGGGGGTTTTGATTGGTAAGGTAACCAAAATACTCACCATAGGATGATCCTTCAACATGCTTGGACAACATGGACCTGATGGTTGGTAAGGGGATGAGGGCAAAGAGCATCACTGCCCGTGCTGTAATGCAATGAATTTTGAGTTATCACCAGTACCTGCTCTTTATGACCCAACACAACCACTGTTTTTGAAGATTACATGCCTCTGGCTTGGGCAGGCATCTTACTTCACCTTTTCTCATCCCTTGAATGTGAAAAAGAGGTGGGTCCTCACTTCATTCAAGGCAGAAAAGCAGGATTGCTTTTGCTCCCATTAGCAGAGGTAATTTGCCCAAACTAGACACATCTCTTGTTCTTAGTCAGACATCCCAGCGTAGATGGGATTCTCACTCTCCTTTGAGATAGTGAGGATGGTGACTTAAGTTTTATAATGAAGAGAGAGCCCCCTGTGCTACACAGCCTTGACAGAAACAGTACCTTTATAACACTACATCTGTCTTCTACCTTGGTGCTTCTGGCTTGCAGTATTGTAGCCTGTCTCTACTGTGAAAATTTATAGGGAGCTGGAATTACCTTTCTGTCAGCAGAACCAGCCTCAGTGAAGACTTGGTCCGTGTGTAGTGTACCAAGGTGTTTCTGCAATGCAGGGAATAAGCATCCTACACACTGTGTAGCAGCATGTTTTCAGGATGAAGATGAGCTGAATTATTAAGCAAGCTTTTTTTTTTTTTTACTTAATATTATTTCTTTTATTCCCCAGCTTGACTGCCTAAACAAACAAAATCTCTTAAAATTTTTACTCAGTGTTTGGCTTAGTACACAAATACAATATTCTATCATCTTTCCCTTTAGAACAACTTTGATTAATTTTCAATTTCCCATTCCCTGTAGGGATGGACAGAAAAATCACTTCGGGACATTTATCTCCAGTGTCTTTCTCACTTTCAGAAGAAAAACCTTAAAGCCATGCAATAGATAATACTCTGTGAGATAGCTCTGCCACAGTGAATGCAGTTCTTGGATTTTGTTTTTTGTCATAGGTTACGTCCCAAAAGTAAACTCACCTTTCCTTTATCATGGGATACTGCTCCCATGTAATCTATTGTTACCTGTCCCTTAGTAATTTATGTACAGTGTGAGATTTGTAAACTACATTATTGTGATACTTTACAGCTCCAATGTTTCATTAAGTTTCCCATCAGGTGTAAGTGCCTTCATATGACAAATCACATCTTAAGGTGTTCATGTAATAGCAAGCCATTTTGCTTCTCTTGTAGCCTTAAGCCTTACCTCAGAGGAAGCAAGTGCTTCCTATTGCTGCAGTGATGTGGTCCTACTAGTACAGGGAGTCAGCAACAATTCCCAGTGCCCCAGAGTGTGAACATTTGGTCTGTGACCTACTGATGAATTACAAGTCAATGGGCCTTAAACTAATCATTGGCAGGAATGTATGCCTCCTCAGAATAATGTAGAGTGCTCAGTCTTAACAGTACTAAGGGAGAGGAGAGTAAGGAGGAATAATAAGGATGCTTTCTTGCAAATTGCCCGTGTGATGATCTGCCTAACTCCTTGGTTGCAAACTTGTCATGAAGCAAAGCAAAAAGCTCTTCCAGTGATGTTGAAACACCCCTTTCTCAGTGTGTATTTGTTCGTGTGAGTGGCTGTTCGACTTACCAATGTAGAACAGGAATGTCCACTGCACGAAGGCCATGATGAGGATGCCAGCGCTGAACGATGCTACTCCAATCATGATCATGGTAATATCCCTCAGGTATCTGGAGAACACGAGTACCCCTAGGAAACTGGTAATGAAGATCATGTACCCAGCAGCATTGCCATGGCCAATCTGCACGGCATTCCAACTTAAAGGTTCCCTGAGCAAGAACAGTGGGAGTACGTTCATTGCACCAACCACAGCAAGGTCATAGAGGATTGCTGCCACAAACAGCAGGATGATGATGAGTTTCGAGGGTGATACTGGAGCGGACATGCTGCCCTCTGAAGGTCGGGAACTCCCTGGTACTGCTGCTTCTGGTAGCTGACCACCCACCTCCTCTGCACTCTTGGCTTTGGCTGGGCAGGACGCTGCTGGCTTGGGGACTGTGAGGACAAAAATGCTGTAGAGGAGACAGAAGGCGTAGCAAGCAATGCTGCAGCACACCAACACGGTGCCTTCTCGGTAGCGGTCACTGAAGCCAACAAAGAGGTAGCCAGATGCCATGCTTCCCAGAAAGCCAGCGAGGCCATACACCAGTTCAATAATGATGAGCCTCAGGGACCTCTTGCTTTCCGAGGACCTCAGGGATCCCAGAGCCATGATGCCTGCCCAAAGTGTGGTGAAGCCTCCTGTCAGCCCATTGAAGGCAGCAGCCCCATACATCACCTCCACTGGCCAGTCCAGCAGAATCAGGAGCAGCAGGAGAGTTTTGGAGCCCAAATAACCAAGAAGAGGGAAGCAGATGGGGATCTTCCGATGTATCCTGTCACCCAGCTTGGATAAGCCATAGGCTGACACCAGTGGGCTCAGGCCCAGAACTAGGTTGTAGATGATATAAAAATTAGATACAGCCTTCTGCTGAGCATCTTCCAGGACGTGGGAGGGATCAGTGCTGTTGGTCTGGTTGTAGTAGTTCTTCACTACCAGGAGCAGTGCTGTGTCATAGAAGGCACTGGCCACTTGAGAACCTGCGACCACTGGCTCAATCCACGTCCTCATTGCCATTATTCCCACCATGCTGCTAGCCACCTCCTCTTCTTGGAGACAGCTGCTTTCAGCAGCATGTGAGGAAACAGCACATGAGGAAACAGCTCCTCAGAAGCTCTGCTCTGGAGGCATGGTTGGAAACAAGCACTGAAAGGAAAAGGAGATCTGCCAGGCTGCACAGCACCGGTGAGTTGTGGAAGAGATGATCTGGCTGGCAGGATACTCGCAGCTCACCTTGCTATGTGTCCACACACCTGCACATCCCTGTGCTGCTCTGAGCTCTGGCTCACACATGGGAGGCTTTTGTACAGCCAGAGAACGCCCTGCACTTGTCGACTGCTGCTGCTCCTCTTCCTGGTGTAGTTTCAACAGAGGTCAGATGACCTGGGGAATTTCTCTCTCACAGAGTAGGAAGTGAAAATGTCCTGATCAAGTAATTGCTGTAATTTAGGGTGGTGATTTGTTCTTTTTTTGTTGACTTCTTTGGGTGTTTTTTTTCTCCTTTTGGTATCCTTCATGTATCAGAGAAGTCTCAGAGTGGTTGTGGGGGCAGGGAATGGCTATGTGCCTTTTTATCAAGTAATTTGTGAATTCCCCTTTACTGCCAGCTCATTTTTCTCTTTTCTACACAAATATGTCATTGTATCTTTTGCTTTTACCTGCTTCTGTTGCTGCATCATGCCCATTATGTCATTGTTGTTTCAATAATGCAATCAGGAAATTACACCAAAAAGAAATTAAATGGGAAAAGGTCTATTTTTGGTAACCTGTTTCCTGTGGCTGCCACTGTGCTTGCCACATCCTCTGGCTTACAATGTGGGAATTTGCAAGAGGAGGAGAGAAGTCCCAGTTTATCCAAAGGCTTCAGTGACTGCTGTGTCCCAGTCACCAGCCAGCTCAGCTGCAGGCTGAGGTGGGTGAGAGTCCACCTCTGGAGAAGAGTTTTCCAGCCCTAGCTCCTCAAGGAGATGGCTGTGCATCTCTGCAGGTGCTTATTTCCACAGACTCTCAAGCCTTGCAGCTTGAAGTCAGCTTCCAATTTTGCTGCTGCCTGAGGGGCAGGTAGAGTGACCCACTCAAGCAGGGCCCCAGGGGCACGGCAGTGCTGCTAGCCAGAGGCACAAGAAGCTCTTGGACTAGGATAGGTGCAAGCAGGCTGCCAGCTCCAAGGACAATGCATGCAGTCCCAGTAGCAGGAAGTACTTGGAGGATATTTGGCAGTTTCAAAAATGCTAACGTAATAAATAGCAATCTCATTCTGAACTGGTTTAATGAATCATAACAGGCAGAGTAACAATCTGTTCTAGGAAGATTTATGATTATTACTTTAAAAAAGAAATTAATGATGAATTTGAAAAAACAATGTTCAAACTTCCATCTGTGGGACTCTGTTGACTCAGGTGACATTTACTCAATGCCATGGCTCAAGAGTTTCTTTTTTCACTCTGTTTGGTTGTGCAATAATTTTTGTCTTGTATTTCAATTACAGGATGAAAGATACAGGATCTAAGCAGGAAAGGAGTAGGGAACTGTCCACTAGAATGATTTGCTCTAGAAAACTCCACCTTCATCAGAGAATTTTTTTTGTTAGACCAAAAGACTCAGCCAGCTCTAAATTATGTGTGTTGTTCCAACAGTTGCCTTTTTTTCTTTTCCCCAGATTAGCTGCAAAAGGTGTCTAGTTTCTTCAGCTTTTATTGAAAAGTGGGACAGGTTTTTTTCAGCAAACCCTGAAATATTTCCAGAGGATGGAAATTCCAGACAGCCTTACTGAAAACCCCAAAGCATCCACCTGTGACCAGTTTGAGCAACAAATGCAACCAAAGGAACTGCCACATTTTATTTCACCCAGGGAGCTTTGTGTCTCCCACAAGAATTACAAGGACAGATAAATTACTTGTCCCATTCAAGCTTCAGTTTGGGACACGAGGTCTGCTGCAAAGGAATTAAATTGGAGTGCAGAGGTATGCTACAGTCACTGCACTTGAGACACTGCAGATCTGCTCAACTCCTACGTGAGGAATATTTTTCCTCCACCCTTTGTTGCATATACAGACTGCCTGGCTTATGCAGCCAACACTGTTCAGGCCTAGATAACTAATGAACTGTGCTAAATGTTACTAGAGATCTAATGAATTACATCTGTATTTCCAGGATATTCTGTGTGTTCACTCACATTAACTGTAGTTTTTAGAACTAGTTCTCATGGAAGGATATATTTCCATGTCAGTGATTGCAAAACAGTAAGTGCTGAAGTAAGAGTTGAGCTCAAAAAATTGAGTTGAGCTCTAAAATATTTACTACTGCAAAACAATTTTCACAAATCCCATATTCATTTGATACCACAAAGTTATCAAAATTACTATTATCTAGTAATTTTTCAGAGGCCCCTGTTTTTATATTGCTAATATTTATAGGGACATTTGCATCTGCTTTAAAATATGCTCATGCAGCATAAGTATAGTGGCACCTTAAGAAAGTGGCCAAGTGGCCCTTGACATTTAAGAAAAATGTACCTACATAATCAGGGACTGTCTTAACAAAAAATACAATGGTGTGTCCTGCTGGAGAAGTAGCACACTCTTTTAGGGCATTTCTCTCCAGAGTGGTCTTGTCTTGAGGTCCACTAGAGGCAGGGTCAGCACACGTCTCACCAACTCTTCAACTTTTCTCAACCTGGCCAAATTAGAGGTGTTCTATGTTTCTCTGTGGTGATGTTTTACACTCCTATGCAGTATTTCTGTTTCTTTTTTTTCAAACCATTTATGGCAGTTCCATCACTTTTTCTTTTTGAACAGAGTTGCCATAGGGATTCCAGTATGCTGGGGTCCTGGGCTAGGAAAGTGCCTGGAATTTGATCTTCAGCATTCCTGTCTGAAAAGGTCCTTTTGATATCCTGGACTGCAATCTAATGTGGGCAAGTAAGCCCTCTTCGTCTTTCTGCCCTAAGCCTGCTAATGGGATCTGTGATTTACAATCCCTGTCTGGCAAGGCATTTTGCCTCCAAGGTGGTAAATCACCTCTAACTCCTCATCCTCCTACTTGGTGTGTGCAGATCATCCTCTCCACTGTGGCTTTGTAGCAGTGGTAAAGTGGGGAAATGTGGCTAGGAACTCTAAAGTGCTTGGGTCTGATCCTGGATGGACCTGCAGCCCCATTGCTGCCCCAGAAGGAGGGAGAGTTGGTTGAAAACACTGGGGAGGAGCAGCTCTTTTAGTGATGGCTGGTTTTCCTTTGGAAAATACTTCATCATAAATAACTTCTGTGTTTGATTGACTTCCTCAGTGGCTGTCATCTAATTCTATATAGGCCCTGTCCTCACAAGGCATGTGGTTCTCCTTGCAGGGATAGGGGAGATGGAGGGAGAATGGTAATGTCCCCCTGTGTGGACAGCCAGGGGCACAGGGATGCAGCATTCTAGTCCAAGGCTGTTGTCTTCTTGGATCCAGAGCCACTGATGGTGGAAGACAATGCCTCAACAGTGTAAAAAAAAATCTAGCAGCCTTTTTTTTGTGGCTATGAGGAAAAAACCCGAGGTTGGGAACTCAGGGTGCTGGTGCCAGTGTCTGTGACACAGCACTGGTAAGTGCACTACTGTAATAAAATATAGGACCATGCCCTCACCGGTGCACCTGGAGGTGCCCCAGACACTGAGACCTCTGTGCCAGCAGTCTGGCATTTGGGAGTTCAGCACCATCAGACATGTTGGGATGATCTATGGAGACATGGGCTCTCCTCTGCTTCTCCTGGGAGGAAAAGGCAGTGTGGGTCACAGGCAGTGGGAGCACACCTGCGCCTCTTCCCCATGCCTCGAGGCCTCACCCACTATTCTACATGCTCCAGGGTGGTGTGCAGGCTACAGAAATGTTGGAGGGGGGATTTGCTCATGGAGAGGAGCAAAGGGTAGGGAGGTCTGCCAGCCTTCCTTTGGAAAAGGCTGGCACTCTCCTCCGCTTCACCACCACTTTCAGAACAACTCGGAGACCAGCAAGGGGCTGTGAATGGCAACTTTTCCTTCAGGACAGTCACTGGGTGATCAAGCAGCACCAGACACCTATGCTCCCTTGCTTTCCCCACCACTCATCATGGTTTTCTCTATTTTCCTCCATTCAGAATTTTCTGCTTACCTTCTTGTAGTCTCCCATGGGCCTATCTCCTGCTGAAAATAAAAACACATCATCCTTTGACAGACGCTTTTTACTGAGTTGGCTTTTTCCCTTTAGCTTGAGGAATTTGGGCAATTAATAGTCCTGACAGCTAGTTGTATACCTTAACATAATCATCTATATGGAATCAGGAATAAAAGCTTCTTGCAGTACCTGGTGTCTGCCTGATCACCTGGACCACAGAGCAAATCCTGCTGTTGCTCTTAGATAAGCCCCAGATAATCCTGGCACTAAATGAGTTTTTTTGTATGTGCACATCCTCCTTTTCATTTACATTCATGCCTTTTTAAAAATTGTTGCCAAGGTATATATGAGCTTGGAACACAAACACTGAAAATTTTAAGAGCGTGCAGGCAGCAATAGCCTTGAGAAATGGGATGAAATAAACTTGCTTAAGCAATCCTATCTTGTATAATAGTGGATAGTCTGAAAAAATTAAATAGCTATATCAATAACATGATTATTAAAAAATTTCACTGCTGAATGAACTACAGTCATGAATGTATAAAAACTTGGTTCAAGCCCACAAACTTCCGTCCCATTCCTAAGTGCTCTCCAAAGCTATTTTGAAATAATTTTGCTGGTCTGCTTCATATTTTTGTTTTTCATTCAGGTCTGGAAAACTTTTTGGCAATGGTGAATTGGTTCCAAAAAGACTACTAAAACATTTAAATAATAATGTTTGCAAAAAACTATTAAAGGGTGATTAAAAGCTGTGTAGAAATGTAAATTTGACTTGGAATTTATAAGTTTGGAGAGGATCTGGGTGGGTGTCAGCATGAATTAGAGGAAGATAACACACAGAACATATTGGAAAGAACAATATAGCAGAATAAAGGAGGAGAAAGAAATAGTAAATCACCTGTCCTTAGAAGTGGGGGGAAGAAAGGAGAGCGAAGGAAAGAGTAGTGCTGATTTTTCTGGTCTGATAGGACCTTTGCTAAATAACTCAGCCCTAGCCAGGTACAATTAGAGGAAATGTATATCTCTCCATAAACCTGAGACTCTACAAGATGTAAGAAGAGTAGCTGGCAGAGAGCATCAGGACAGTGGAGAGAAGAGGGATGAATCCACCCCATTTTCCTGGCTGAGGGGTGGAGACCATCAAAATGCATAAATATGCAGTCTCTGCATTTCTGCTTTGTGTGAGGCATAGTGCTTTTTCTGGAGAGGAGGGAAGGTATGTATTTCTTTAAATCTTCTGGGTACACCTTTGCCAGGTAATCCATTCATTTTTCACCTGACAGGTCT